CTGTTGTAAAACAAGCCTGCTTCTCTGCTGTTTACTATGTAAAGTGGCTGTCTTAATTGTTAATGGTCTCTGTTTTTATTCATTGCCACACTGTTGTCAAGTTTCTCTTTAAAACAACTTAGACTACGCTGACCAGAATGTTATGAATGAATTGGCCCAGGTGTCCCATAATATTGAAGCTGTCAAATCAATACAAGCACAAGCCTGTAACAATGCAAAACAGTCCCAACTTTATTAGGAACAAAGTTACAATAACCTTTTAATATTAAATATTATTAATTCTAATCCTATTTGGTCCCTTAAAGTTAAATTACTTCCCGAGTCTCCTGTAGATTTATGCAGTCACTGTTGCCCTGGATCTGCAAAGCTGCTTTCTTTCTCTCTCTAGATGGTTAGCTGGTCTCTGCCTCTTGCCATGCTGGTCTCCTCAGAAAGCCTTCAGAAGATTCCAAAGCTGTTCCAAGAGAAAAGTCTGCCAGTGAACCCTGTTTTTATATCTATTTAGAAGATTTTCTGGAACTTTCAATAGTTCTGGCCAATCAGGGCAATACACTTAGTAGTTTGAAACAGGGTTAATCATTTTGATGGCATGCTACTGCTGGTTTCTTTGTGTAGCAGGACCTGGGCCCTTTCTGTAGGGGCTCTCCTTTCTTTAGTGGATAAGTTGTTGGGGGTATGACTGTCCAGAATAACTGTTGCCGATTAGATTAGATTTATTTATTTGTCATATGTATTCCTAAACTTGGAACGTAAGTACAGTGAAAAGTGCACAAAGTCGCCGTTCACTGGCACGTACTTGGTTACAAAAACCAAAATTAAAAGATTTAACAGAGCCAAAAGGTAACCAACAAAAGTCAAGTCCAGATCTCAGAGGCCCAAGTCACACCTCCATAGGCTTCAGTCCGCTGGGCCGCCGACTGCTGCTGCCTCACCGGCCCACTGGCATCACTCCAGCCCGTGCTTATTCTGCCGTTGCTGCAGGACACAGCCCACGCGTTCACCTCTCACTATGCGGTTCCTGGTCATGACCTGACTCCCCTTTGACTCCTTAAATAGGTAGTTAAAAAGGTGGGGAGGTGTGGGATGGGGGGGCATTAGAATTACTACAGAGAGGAGGAAAAAAGGGAACTGGCGAGCAGAGTGGAGCACTGAATGGGGTGACTTACCCTGTCGCCATCTTGCCAGAGACTGCACTAACACCTGACTGCTGTGTTGGAATGTCTGGTTTGTGGGTTTTTATGATTTGCGTTTTACTTGGCCAATGTACCCAGTATCCTTTTGCTGTTTGGCCAAGTTAGCAATCTGTGTTTTGGCAGCCAGGAGGCTGCTACACTGTACAACTTACATCTGTTTATTTTGATTTTTAAAAATATGTATATTTTCCTGTCAGAACTATTCCATCTAGACAATTACAAAACAACTATCCGTTGCTTCAACCAACCTTTTTATCCGTTTCCTAAGATTTACCCCGAATCTTCCTCAGGTTTTTAGTTAAGCTCAAAGCTATCAGGCTGTAAGGAGTTTTGGGATGTGAAAGACAGATAAATGCCAGTTGATTTATTTTTAACATGGTTACCATATTTATAGGGTTTTATAATTAATTAGGGCTGTTCCTTCCTCAAAATTGTGTTCTAATTTTCTCCCTCCTGATCTGAAATGGAAGCAAGAGGTTATAGATGCCCCCAACATCCGACCTAAGGATCATGTGCCATATTTCAAAGCAAAACACTGAATACTGGACATCTTAAGCTAAAATACCTGGCAGCATCTATAGTGATAGAATTATTGATTCAGACTGATAAGTGTGCCCCATTCTTTGTGAGTGAGACAAAACCTTAATTGTCTACAAGCTGTTTGACTGTGCAAGGTATCTCCATGAAATTCATTTTTTTTCTTGCTCAATGCTTATACACATGCATTTTTTCAGGCATCATTGGTTCCAGAACCTTTGCTGGTTTATTCATTCCCAACTTGGAAATGGTAAGGCTTAACTTACAGTTCAGTATCCTGCCTAAAATTGGATAACGAAGTACAAATGGAGAATCGCCATGGATTTTATGACTGACTAATGCATTTAATCATTGAAATTGGAGGAATTCAAATGATAAGTATATGTAATGTCCCAACTGTGTTTCCTTTGCTGGTATCATTGCTTTCTACTTGTATAAATTTCAGTTGTGTTCAGGAAATTCTGTGCAGACTTTGGATCTATTCTGTTTGCAATGATAAAATGTCAAGCCACAGAGTCTCGTTCTTAATTACACTGCTTATCACGCAGACTGATACTTCTATAGAAATAATGCATAGTAGAATAATAATCAGTCTTTTATTGCATGATTATGACTCTTCAGCACTGAAACATATATGGCACCTTTCTAATAGGAACTGACTTTTATTACATGGAGAAAGCTGCAGATCAGAGATTCGTGTGTCCTCAATTGTGAATCATTAAAAAGTTAGGATCAATGTTCAGTGGGTAATAGGAAAGGCAAATGAAATGTTAGACTTCATTTCAAATGAAATGGAGTATGGAAGTAGGGAAGTTTTTTGCTAAAACTATACAAGGTACTAGTCAGACCACAGCTGGAATGCTGTGAACCGTTTTGGGCCCCTTATCTAAGGAAATGTATACTGACGATTGGAGGCAGTCCAGAGAAGGTTCACTAGGCTGATACCAGAGATGGAGACACTGCCTTATGAGGAGAGGTTAAGTAGATTAGGCCTTTACAGGGCATATGTTCAAGGTTAGTGGGGAAAGATTTTAAAAAGGACCTGAAGGGTAATTTTTTCACACAGAGGATGGTGTGTTATGGAATGAGCTGCCAGAGGAAGTGGTGGAGGTGGGTACAATTACAAAATTTAAAAGGCATCTGGATGGGTATTTGCATAAGAAAGGTTTAGAGGGATATGGGCCAAATGCTGGCAAATGGCACTGGGTCAGATTGGGATGTCTGGTCAGCGCAGACGAGTTGAACCAACGGGTCTGTTTCTATTCCCAAGACTCTCTGATTAGTTACAATTTAGAAGAGAGAGATGACATTGCTGAAAGTTAAAGTTTTTTCAGGGACTTAATAGGATAAGTGGAAAAGTTTCCCCTATGGAAGTCTAGGACCTGGGGAATAAGGGGTCGCAATTTAAGACAGATGAGGAGGAATTTCTTCTGAGGTTAGTGAATCTATGGAATTCTTTACCACAGAAATCTGTTGAGCCTGGGTGATTAAGTATATTCAAGGCTGAGATACATTTTTAATCATTAAGGGAATCAAGGGTTATATGGAAAAGGCAGGAAAGTGGAGTTCGGGATTATCAGATTGGCCATGGTCTCATTGAATGGCTGGGAAGACTCAATAGGCTGAATGGCCTACTTCTGCTCCTGCATAGAACGGTTCATCTAAAACAAGACATGGGAAGCAAAGCACTATTAAAGTTTGAAAATAAATGTAAATGTTTGGTGGGTGTGGTGACAATTGTTTTTGGAAACAATTTTTATCTGAAGTTATTTCTTGACCTATGTTGAGTGAAGTTGCTGTATGGGTTTCGGTATGTCCCTACAACCCTCTGAATTGGGTTAGAATGCTATCTCTAAACCAAAGCTACAACCTTTGGAGAAAATATGTGAGCTAAAATAAAATTCGATGTACATGTGCAGTGTTGCAGTAGTGAGGATGACACAGTCTACAGAGGAATATTGACAGATTAAGTGAGTAGACAAAACTCGGCAATGAAATACTGTTATAATGTGAGATTATACACTTTGAGGAGAGGAACAGAAGAGGCAAATATCATTTAAATGCAGCACTGAGGGATTTAGGGGTCCATGTACATAAATCACATATAACAATGAACTTGGATACTAGCTTTAAGGAAGGCAACTGGAATGTTGGCCTTCTATACTTCATTCCCTTTGAAATTAAGTATAAAAATAGGGAGGTCTTGCAAAAACTATATAAGGCACTAATCAGACCATACTTGGAATACTATAAACAGTTTTGGATCCCTAAATTAAGGAAAGACATACTAGAAACAAAAACAGAAATTGCTGGAAAAAGCTCAGCTGGTCTGGCAACATCCGTGGAGAGAAATCAGTTAACATTTTGAGTCCAGTGACTCCTCTTAAGAATTGATAGTAGCTAGGATAAAGTTGGTATTTATGCAAATGACAGGGTGGGGGCAGGGGTAACGAGTAAACAATAGGTAGAGTAGAAGAATAGTTGGACAAAGGAGTGGATAACAGTCAGCCTAAGAGAATGAATGGCTGCTTAGGGGGACTGTTAGTGGCTTCTTTTATTCATTAATGGGATGAGGGCATTGCTGGCTAGGCAGCATTTATTGTCCATCCCTAACTGCCCTGCTCTGAAAGCCAGTTCAGAATCAACCACGTTGCTGTGGGTCTGGAGTCACATGTAGGCCAGACCAGGTAAGAATGGCAATTTCTTTCCCTAAAGGGCATCAGTGAACCAGGTGTGTTTTTCATTGTCATCATTAGATTCTTAATTCCAAATATTTTATTGAATTCAAATTCCACCATCTGCCATGGCAGGATTCAAACCCACGTCCCCAGAATGTCATCCAGGTCTCTGGATCAACAGTCTAGCCATAATACCACGAGGCCATTGCCTCTGTACCATTAGATCATTGCTAACAATGGGTAATATATAATAGCAGACCATAACAAGGCTTGGTGTGTGGGGTTGGAATAAGGATATGGGAGAAGGTGCCTCAAGCCCTAAAACTGTTGAACTCAATAAGTCCAGAAGGCTGTGGAGTTATTGAATTCAACAGTTTTAGGGCTTGTGGAAAATGAGGTGTTGTTCTTCCAGCTTGAGCTGAGCTTTGTTGGAGAACTGCAGCAAAGCTGAGACGGAGATGTTGGCGAGGGAACAAGGTGGTGTGTTGGAGTGGCAGACAACTGGAAGCTCAGGGTCTTTTTTGCGAACAAAATACAGGTTCTGCTAAGTGCTCACCAAGTCTATGCTTTGTTTTCCCCCATGTACAGGAGACCACATTGTGAGCAGCGAATGCAGCAGACTAGATTGACTGAAGTGCGGGTAAAGCGCTGCTTCACCGAGAAGGCGTGTTTGGGCCTTCCGGATACTGAGGAATGAAAAACGGCGAAGGCAACAGTGAAAAATCGTAAATTAAAACAAGTTGGTGTTGATTCTGAATGTGGGGGTTAGCGTTTTGCTTGGTACAGGTACTAAGGGATGGAGGAATACTACATCAGGCTGAAAATCTACCCGCTGTAGAAGAACAGGCTGGGGAGAAACTCAGCTACTCGTGCTGCATTTGCCAGTATGAAAGATGACGCCCCCCTCCGATAGTGACTGCCAGGAGGTCAGAGGTGAGAGTTGGCAGTGTAGCCACGTGTGTGTCGCTACCATGATGGCACGGCTGCCGCGAGCTGTGCCGGTGGCCTGGTTGAAGGTTAACAGGAGCCTGCGGAGTGGAGTCGAGGGCAGAGGGGCGGGACGAGGAGCGAAGACAGACACCTGGTGGTGGAGAAGAAGCTACAGCTCGGCGCCGACGAAAGCGGCTCTGCGCCTCCCCAGGATGGAGTACCAGGTAGAAACGGGGCCGGAGCGGCCGGGTCTCGTTCACGACCGGGGGTCGGGCTCAGATCCAGCCCCCGATGGACGGCTGGCGCGCCGGCACCTTCCCGCGCTTTTCCCGGTGACGGTTACGCTGGTTTGTTTGAACGGCTCGAGACACGGGGTTTGGCCGCTTGTACGGGGTTGAGGGGTTGAGCGCTCGGACGCTCGGGGTTCAGTTTATTCTCCCTCCAGCCCCAATTGTTTCAGCAAGTGAGCAGGGGTTTTGAAGGAGTAACTTCAGACCGGCTTTTCTCCCGCTCAATCTTCCGCTTCAGATCACTGGGGAATCTTGTCCTGCCTCATTATGCGGGAATCAGGATTCCCTTTCCAAGGTGACTGTGACAGCTGGTGGAAAGAAGATCTTCCAAAAGCATTGCCGCATCAAGTTTAAAATTGCTGTAAAGTTTTTTTTAACCCATCCTTAAGGGTAGGGTTAAATGTTTCTGGTTTAGAGTTACTTTCCTTCTGTATTTCATGTTGTGTGTGAAACGCCAACAGACTTGCATTGCTAATTCAGTCACTTTCCTGATCCGAGTGGGAAATGAAGAGTAAATAGGAAATGTATCTAGATTCGGGGGAAGATGAAATTATTGACAATATTCCTGAGGTTGGGAATTAATATTTTATTGGACTATTTCCTGTGGCATTGGGATTTCTATTTTCAGAAATAAGTCTGTTTGCAAAACCAAATCATATTTGTAGAATGCACATAAATGCTAAGCCAAAGAAGGAATGAATAGCTGGGGTTATTGAACACAGAAATTTTGCTAGAGAACCTCAGCAGTTCTGATAACATCTGTGGAAAGAAAGCAGAGTTGACATTTGAGGTCCATTTACCCTTCAGATGCCCTCTACACAGATGCTGCTAGATTTGCTTCAGTAAGCAAAGTTCTTTGCTTTAGTTTATACATCAATGAAAATCTTGCTTGGTTTTGAGACGATGTGTGGGAGGATGATGTAGCGTGCAGGTATTCAACAGCTGGGATTCTGATTTATGAAGAGGTGTAAGGAGAGAAGATGTCTCTCTTTGAGAGAAGAATGCGGAGGAACATAGCTGTGGAGCATAAATACGAAAGTCACAATGTAAGAAGGTGCATTTGAGAATAACATTACTGAAGGAGTGGTGAGAATGTGGAACTCATGATCATAAACACCAATTGAAATGAGTAGTATAGATGCATTTTCAAGGAAGCTGATGAATATGAGGGGGAAAGAAACAGAAGAAAATGTTGATAGGGTCAAATGAGGAATGATAGGAGGAACCTTATGGAAGATGAACATGTTGAGCTGAATGGTGTGTTTCATTGCTCAGTTCTGTAAATCACTGTACAGTTACTGGTGTTTATTGTGCACGAGGAGTGGAAAAATATTTATTTTCACAGCTGGACACTCTCCAATGTTTGGTAACAGTTTAAACCAGGTGCGTATACTGAAGTTAATGATAGAATGAGTACAGTCCAAGGATCATTCTCAAAACTACACAAATAAAAAGCATTGGCTCCATACAAAGGGTTAGATAGTGAAAAATGTGAGTTGCTTTGAAAAGGTTGGTTATCGTTTTGGCTGCTACTGGTTCCACAATTGTTGGCTGGCCTGTGAACACTTTGCACATGTATGAACCTAGATATCTGATGTGCAGACTTTACAGGATGGATCATCAGACGGCAGTCACAAGTAGGATACTTCCCTGATTTTTCTTAATTCGATCCCCTATTCCAAACTGATATAGTTCATTTAACAAAAACACCAATTAAAAGTGGGAGCTGCCTAGTTTGTGTGTTGGCATCAAAGCTGCTGGGCAGCATAATCTCTTGTAAACTAAAAATTATATATGGCTAACCTCCAGATTTTAATTTCACTCTGCAGTCTGTGGTTGATGGGTCAGGCAGTTGGGACCTTCCTCTGAAACTGCATGATAGGGCTGCATTGATAGGGGAGTCATCTTCCACATGCTTTTAACATGCCCTTTCACACTATCACCACCCGTAAGTTCCCCTTCAAACAGCCAGCCATCCTGACTTGGAACTGTGTCGCCGATTTTACATTATTCGTAAAAATATCTTTGTATACACTTACAGTGACTAAAGCAGTTTGGTTCTATACATAGCATGTGAAGAAACAAAACAAACATTGGAGTTTGATAGGTCCGGCAAACAAACCAAAGGTATTTTTTACTTGTACAGGATTGTATTTACATATATTTGAGGCTCCAGGAGGGTCTGATAACTGATTGGACCCCCATTTAACGTCGGCAGAAAGACCTTAGAGAGTGGTATTTCTTCACTGCGCCTTGGAGGCAGCTGCCCCAAGCTTTAGTGTGTCCCTCAGCACGTACTCCTGGGCCTTGGAATGTGCCAATCTGCAACACTCGGTTGGGGTCGACTCCTTGCTCTGAAAGACCAACAAGTTTTGGGCACCAATTTGTGTGTGTGTGTGTGATATCTTGAACTGTAGATAGACTATTCAGGGAAGGGCAGTAAGTGCTAGTTTGACTAGCAACACTCCTGTCCCAAGAATGAATGTACGATTTACCCTTTCCAGCTCTCCAAGTGTTTGCTCAAGATACTGCCCGGTATGTGATGGTTTTTAAACAAATATGGCAGCTCCCTCAATGTTTCAATAATTGGTCTATAGATGCTTGTCAAACAGATTTGATGTATGACCTATTCTTAAATAGATGAATCAAATTGGATTGATTGTTGTGGGATGCAGTGTATAACAATAACCTGGGCTGGGTTGGGAGGGTGTAAAAATCATTGGCAGTTCAGCCTCCAGTGATTTTCTTGATGTAAATTGTGTGCATGATGACCTGTATGGCTGAAAATCTTGCTAGAGCTCAAAGTTTTAGGCTCAGCTGGAATTTTGAGCATTTGAATGAGGCTCCAGAAGGTGGCAGGGATCCATGGAATAGGCCCCAGCGAGAGTTAGGCCCCTTCATTGTAAGACAGCAATTGAGATTGGTGCTCACCTTGGCTCAACTTCGCACTCAATTAATTTGCCTTAGAAAGTTTTTCTAATTGATATATGGGAAGTGGGTTTATATTGGGAGACTTGGGAAAGATGGATCTTGTCTCTCAGCATTAATCCAGCACCCCTGTTAATATATTATAGTTAGCAGTAGGAGAAGGGCACTCCAGAGAAATATTTGAAACATTGTGTGCCTTGGGTTGGAATCTAATTGGCAAGGTTGGATGGTTCTGGATTTCAGTGAGTGTGTTACGGACTGAAAGCTAATCTTTGGGCTCAGATTACATTATTGTGAGGACTGATTCTTTCTGGTATTACATTACTGTTATGGAGGACCCTGACTGGTAGCTTAAGCTTAATGTGTGTTCATGTTGTCACTGGACGTATTTGGGACAAAGTGCACTGAAATCTCATTACACTTGATTGCATTTCATTTTGGTGAATACAGTGAACTGGTTTTTTGCATTTCACAGCCAGCTCCCAACTTCCTGTATGACTGATATCATGTTTTTAGCTTGATGAGACTGGTCACTTTAAGAAGCTTCCTGTAATACAACCGCCAGAAGCTCCAGGGACGTTCTGATAATTTGGACTGGTATGTGGATTGGAAAGGTGTAGAGGGATATGGGCCAAATGCAGGTGAATGGGGCTAGTTCAGTTTAGGAAACTGGGTTGGCATGGATGAATTGGGCTGAAGGGTCTATTTTGTGCTGTATGACTCTAAATACCACTACATTTTGCTCCTCCAGACTTCAAATGGCAAAATCTATAATTGTATGCCTGGAGCATAGTACAAAAGTTCAATGCTTCCTGAATTTGACCATGTGTTTAGGACTGATTGCTATGGCCCATTTTGTTTTTATTGATTCAGGGGATGAGGGCATCACTGGCCCATCCCTATACTCATCCCTGGAACATTTGGATAACAAGGACACCTACGTCAGACTCCTATTTGTTGACTTTAACTCTGCCTTCAGCACCATAATTCCAACAAAACTTATCTCCAATCTCTGCTCCCCACCTCTGCACCTGGATCCCTGGTTTCCTGACTCGCAGACTGCAGTTAGTATGGATATGTGACACCGCCTCCTCCACAAAATTCCTCAATACTAGTGCCCCGCAAGGCTGTGTACTCAGCCCCTTGCTATACTACTCGTGCACTCATGACTGTGTGGACAAATTCAGCTTTAACTCCTTTTATGTATTTGCTGATGACACCACCAAGGTGGGTCGGATCTCAAACAACAATGAGACAGACTACAGGAAGGAGATAGCTTAGTGGTATGGTGTAAAAGGCAACAATCTCTCCCTCAATGTCAGCAAAACAAAGGTGCTGTTCAGGAAAGGGAGTGGAGGAAATGCCCTGTCTGTATCAATGGTGCTGCAGTGGAGGTGGTTGAGAACTTCAAGTTCCTTGGTGTAAATATAACGTTGAACAATCCTGGTCCACCATGTCACCACTACAGTCAAGAAAGCACACCAAACCCTCCGCTTCTCAGAAAGTTAAGGAAATTTGGCATGACCATAATGACTTTTACCAATTTTTATCAATGCACCATAGAAAGCATCCTATCCGGATGCATCACAGCTTTTGGTATGGCAATTGCTTCACCCAAGACTGCAAGAAATTGTAGAGAGTTGTGAATGCAGACCCAGTCCATCATGAAAACCAGCCTTCGTTTCACTGACTCTGCCTACACTTCCGGCTGTCTTGGGAAAGTAGCCAACATAATCAATGACCCCTCCCACCCCTGTCGTGCTCTGTTCCACCCTCTTTCGTCATGCTGAAGATACGAAAGTTTGAAAACACGTATCAGCAAATGTAAAAACAGCTTCTTCTCTGCTGTTATCAGACTTATGAATGAACCTCTCATATGTTAGAGTCGATCTTTCTCTGCACCTTCTCTGTAGCTGCATTCTGTTCTGTTACCCTGATGTACTTATGTAAGATATGATTTGTCTGGTTAGCACGCAAAACAGTACTTTTCACTGTAACTCGGTATGTGTGACAATAATAAATCAAATCAATCGCCCAGAAGGTAGTTAAGAGTCAACCACATTGCTGTGGATCTGAGGTCAAATGTAGGCCAGATTAAGTAAGGATGGCAGTTTAGTGAACCAGATGCGTTTTTTTGACAATTAACAATGGATTTATGTACTTTTTAGTTCTGAATTTTACTGAATTCAAATTCCACCATCTGCCATGGCAGAATTCAAACCTAAGACCCCAGAACGTTTCCTGGGTCTCTGGATTAACAGTCCAGTGATAATACCACCAGTCATCACCTCCCTTGATTGTTTTAGGCTCAGGATTTGACTCTTGCTTACTACTTCTTTTTGATTGAAGCGGTGTCAAGTGACCCTTTTTGTTCCCTAATGGGTGACAAAGGGGAAATTCCTGCAGTAGAGTTCTGCAGTGCACCCCATCCATCTTGCCTTTCCAGAGCGCACTCCAGGCCTCTTGTCTTTTTGTTATGTAAGAGCAGCATTTTTAAGTTCTCAGGCCACAGAGAAAGTTGCACTGAATTATCTTCTGTGCTGTATGGTATTGTTAAGAGTGATTTTTTTTTTTAATGTTTACTTGCTCATGTCTTTATGTTTGGTTCCAGGATGCGATAATGGCACTGAACACTCTCCAGACCAATGCCAGCACCCTGGAACAGATCCGACGGGAACAGCAGCTTGGCCGAACAAATGGCACTCTGGAAGCAATGAACTCCTTTATTCACCGCGCTGGAATGAAGGTAAAGGCATAAAGCTTATGTTGGTTAATTAGGGAGACAGGGCGATACACCTCATCAAGCTTCCAAACAAATGATTTGATTTCGAGTGAAGATGTCTACGTGACCCATCGCCTTGTGATTCAGGAGATTTACCAGTTGGACTCACCCTATTCATTCTTGTGTGTTTCCCAATGACAGTGACCTAAGAACAAGAGATGTGATGGGCAAAGGACATTAGAACTGATATGCTTGGCATTGTATGAGGCAACAGGGACTTAACAGCTGTCTTCATTGGGAATGAGCAGCTCGACAAGAGAATATCAATCAATGGCTTTTGCTTTTGAGCACTGCTTATGTTACACTTGCTGGAAAAGATGGAGGTGAGGGCATTGTGTGGATAGGTAAACTGCCAACGGTTCAGTCTCCAAGTTCACACACAAAGGTAGGCCATTTTAGTAATGTCCCAACAGCAGTGGGATATGTATGGCGGAACCTGCAGTTGGCACCTTCAGTGCAAGAGAGAGGGAGGGGAAGCAGATGAAGGGTGACAACTGCAAGCATGCCATCCTAACAGATTCTCAGTAGAAGTTTTCCACAGATGATACTGTCTTGTTAGAAGCCATTTTTCTCCAATAACCTTTTCTTTTGTCAATGATAGATTGAGGAGTTGGACCAGCTTGCCATCATCCATGTGACTGGAACAAAAGGCAAGGTCAGTCCCTGACTTAAATTCATCAAAAGGACAGGTTGGGCTGTAAATATTTCTTAGAGCCGTGCTGATTTTGTTTTTACACTAGGTCTAAGGGTTTTACACCTGTTGATGCTCTGGACCTCTGGGTTGAATGTTGTTCCTGGATTTCCATCTCATAAGCTTTCCTGGTCTTGTGACCTGGTTGAAGGGGAATAGTGGTGAAATTTGGGACTTCTGGAGGTGGTCAGGGAAGGGGTTGACACTGTTCTAGGCCCTTCAACCAAGGTGACCTACTGATGAGTGGGAACTCCAGGAATTTGGAAGTCGCTGCAGTGTTGATATCTAGGTGGATGATGTGTGACATGAGAAGTGGGGTCCATTAGATTGTAAAATTTGACAATTGAAAATCATTTTTTTTACAAAGTGCTTGAATAGATCACCTTCATTTTGTGACATAGGAAATGTTGAGACAGTGTATTTGAGGACAGGAAAAGGAGAGGATGGAATTTTTATGAATTCTTCAACATTGGTCAGCAGTTTGTAGATGTCAAGTGTCAGGATTTTCTCAGTAATCATGACAACTGTTTATTGATTGCTGGAGTCTATTATTTAAGTATTACGTTGTTCATGGCCTCAAAATATCAAAAGTACTTTGCAGCCAACAAATTACTTTGGAAATGCAGTTACAAATGTTTACAAGACAAGAACAACAGCCAGTTTGTACAAAACAATCTCATTAACAGCTGGAGATCTATCTATCTCTGCTATGATATGCATCCTTAATAAAGTACCATCAGATTCTGAAGTGTTATTGCTTAAATCTTTAAGAAAGACTCGGGTGACAGAAGTCTGGTCTAATGATTTATGCTGGTGTTAAATGGGCGCTTTTGCAGACCAACATTTCGCCTAAATGAATGTTTGAGCGGTGCTGTTTGTTTCCGTTCAGTTTTAAAGTCCATTCTTTGAATATTGCTGTGCTTTTTGCTTATTTTAGGGTTCAACGTGTGCGTTTTGTGAGAAGATATTGCGTGAATATGGACTAAAGACTGGTTTCTATAGGTAAGATGAAGAATCCTTGTGTGTGTGTGTCTCTCACGAAACAACTGGGTGATGAGGAGGGTTTGTGTTGTATCGTCTGGGGCTTTTATGTCAGATTGTTGTTCAGCATTGTCAGTCTTGCCCCACATGTTGAACAGATAAGCAGTTATTCTCTGTGACCTAGGCTTGAATACAGATCCTTGGTTCTGTGGGATATATCTTGATTTGTCGTCTCATTTCTACATATTGCGTAAGCCTTAACAGATGATTGATTGCAATTCCAAACTTTGTTAGATTTATGAATAATAAGGGCAGTTGAATGGATTATGGCACATGCAGTAAATTTACAACAGCATCTTATCACACTTTTTAATGTAGAAATTAAAAGCATTCACATTCCTTGGAACTCTGAAAACAGTGCAAATACTTTTGCTCTCATGCTCCCTTTATTCGTAAGAACTTAAAAGAATGAGAGGTGATCTCATTGGAGCACTGAACCCTTAAAGGGTTTGAATGGGTAGATCCTGGGCAAATAATTCCCCTGGCTAGTGAGTCAGGAACAACCGATCGTAGTTTTAGCAAAAGGAGCCATCTCCTTCTGACTGAGATGAGCAATATCTCTTTTAAAAAGTTGTGGATCTTTCAAATTTTGTAGATGAGAACAGCTAGACTACTTGTTACCATGTATGTTCAAACCAGAGATTGACAAATGTTGGATATTAAGGTGGCCACGCAGGAAAGTAGATGAAGAAATATTATTTTATTGATTTCTCTTGGAAGGGCCAAATGGCATATGACAACTCCTATCTCTTATGCTGTCACTCAATACCAAACTACCTCTGCATGGTCACAATGTTTATTTGTGCTACCATATCATTGGCTGCAGACAGGGCTAACTGGCAGAGTTGACCCAGATCTAGCTACTGATTTAATTGAATATTTCCAAACCATGACGGATAATATTTATTGGGAACAGTGTTAGAAAGGTATCAAGGAATCTTACAACAAAGAGCTAAATGGAGTTGAGGTACGGATCGCCTATGAGCTAATTGAATTGTGGAACGGGCTTAATGGACTGAATGGTATAGTCTATCTCCCATGGTCTTAGACACCAATTCATATCCTCTGATAATTTATTGTAACAAAGACTTTAAAATGTACTGCTGATTTCTACACTAGGTGACCACAGATTCAGAATGACGTTTATCCATTCAAGTGCACCTGCCCCTGACAATAAGTTTCAAACATATTTCAAGCCAATCTTGCTTATACCTGCTCTATATGGCAAACTAATCAAATTGAAAGGATGTTGATTGTGGGGGGATTCAGTAATCATATTGGTAAATCCATTGAGTGTCAAGGGTGATAGTTACCTTCTTTCTTTTGGAGATGCAACTGCCAGGCAATTACATAACATGAATGCGCTTTGCCATGTAATCAGCTCAAACCAAAATGTTGTTAAGACCTTGCTGTACATGGGTTTGTTTCAATATCTGAGGAGTTTTTGAATGGTGCTGAACATTGCAATTATCAGTGAATATCCCCACTTCTGAATTCATATTGGAGGGAAGGCAATTGATGAAGCAGCTAAAGATAGTTGCTTTAGAACACTTCCTTGAGGAACCTCTGCAACGATATCCTGGGGCTGAGGTGACTGACCTCCAGCCAGGGGAGCCTGTGCCTCTGATTTGCATTGGCATCAATTTTACGAGGGCTCTTAGTCCCAGACTGTCAAATGCAGCCTTGATGTCAAGAGCAGTCACTTTAACTATGCCTGTGGAATACAGAATGTTTGGATCAAGCCTGTAATGATTTCTGGAGCTGAGTGACTTATAGTAAGTCATAGCGAGTAAAGAATCTATCAAGCAGTATATCGCTTTGCTGATGATTAAGATTAGACAGGTGGGGAGGTAGGTGGCTGGATTGGATTTGTCCTTTTTGTGGCAATTTTTTACCTTATTGAATAGATGCCAGTGTTATATGCTGTGCCAGAACAGCTTGATTGAATGCAGATATTTCTGGAACACACCTTCAACGTAGTCCAGATATTATTGGGGTTTCTAGCTGGTGTGCTCAGTCAATTTTTTGGTAATGCATGGAGTGAATTGAATTTGCTGAAGACTTGCATCTTTGGAGATCTTAGGTGGTTGAGATAAATCACTCAAGTACTTGGACTTCAGGCTGAAGATGGTTGCAAGTGCTTCAGATGTGTCTTTGCACTAATGTGCTAGGCTCCCCTTACACGAATCATGGGGTTATTAGTGGAGCTCCTGTCTGTCATCTGCAACTATTTGCAATTAAACACCTATGATTCTTTTGGTTTATGAATTGATTTGTGCTATCTTTGGGATGATGCTTCTGTTGTTTATTTGTATGTGACCTTTGTTGTAGTATTACCAGGTTGACTACTCATTTTTGCCTGATGCTGCACCAAAACATTCTTCTACCCTTCTTATTGAACCTTGGTTGATCTGCTAGCTTGATGCCAGGAGATGTTAAGAGCTTGATATTAAGAGAAAATAATGACAAAAATAACTCAAGGTACTCAGTTTCCAAAGGTCGCTGGTAGCTATAATTATGTTCTTCGGAACAGGATCTGAAGAAAGAGCACTATATTGGAAACATTAACTCTGTTCTGTCACACCAGATGCTGCCAGACTTAGAGTTTCTCTAGCACTTTCTATTTTTGTTTCAGATTTCCACTGTTTGTAGTTCTTTGTTTTATTTTAGTACCTTGTAGTCTACTTGTGCTTTGTACAAATTCGAATGTTTTAGGGAGACAGGAGTGGTTGCTCACTGCAGAATTCCTAACCTCTGGCTGCTCTTGTACCAACAATATTTATATGGCTAGCCCAGTTCAGCTTCTGATCTCTGATAACCCCAGGATGTTCATAGTGAGGAGTTCAGTTATGGTAGTACCTTTGAATGTTAAAGGGTGATGATTAGATTCTCTCTTGTTGGAGATGGTCATTGACTGACTTGCTGCTTCAGTTGTTTATCTGTATGTGACCTTTGCTGTGATTTCACCAGGTTTCTTACTTTGGGTATGCCTGTTGCTGCACCTAAAACACTCTTCTGCACTTCTTATCGAACCAATGTTGATCTCCTAGCTTGATGTCATGGTAGACAATGCAATGTTTGGGTACGGTTCTGCTACTGATGTCCCATGGATGTCTAGTTTTGAGCTACTGGATCCCATTTAGCTCAGTCACATAACTTGATGAAGTGTATCCTCATTGTGAAGACATGACATTGCCGTGGTCACTTCTACCTACACCATAATGGACAGATGCATTTGCAACAGGCAGATTGATGAGGATTAGGTCGAATAGATTTTTACCTTTTTGCTGGCTCTTTCACACATGTGCAGATTTGGTTTTGCAGTCATGTCCTTTAGGACTTGGCCAGCTAGTCAGTTCTGATGCTGAACCACTCTTGGTGATAAACATTGAAGTCCCCACTAATAATGCATTCTATACCTTAGATTCCCTCAGTGCTCCTTCTAAACGATGTTCAGTGTAGAGGTGTACTGATTAATCAACTGAATGATGATGATGATGATGATGATGTGTAATGATCAACAGAAGATTTCCTTGTTAATTTTTAACCTGATGCCATGAAACTTAATGGGGTAACAGTCAATGTTGAGTATTTCTTGAGCCACTCTTTCCTGACTATGCCACATGGCTACTATCTATGACGTAAATATATTGCTGGTGGGTTGAGATATACCTAGGGATAGTATGATCTTTATATAATTTTGGGTATGACTGTGTCAGCCTGTTAATTTGCTGTTCTGTTGGACAGCTCACCCAACTTTGTTACCTCATAGAAGTATTTATCTCATAGCATCCCTACAGTGGGGAAACAGCCCATCTGGCACATCGTGTCCCCATCGTGGCTGTGGCACGTAAGTCTCAAGCCACTGAATTACTAGTTCAGTAACATAACCACTATGCTACTATTTTCCCCCATATCATTTTTTTCTAATTTCAAAAAGGAAAACAATGCTCATCATGGTACAGAAGCTAATTATCTCATGAACTGATTATGATGGGAGTCTGAAACTTCCTTTGAAACATCCCTATGCAGTCATGGATTTGGGGCTACTTCTCCAAGTGTGTTTCTGGACAAATGGAGAATTGTGTTGCCCATGGCTCCAGTTGATTTGGAAAATGGATTCTTTCCACTTTGTCATGGATGATGGAATCTCACTGTTGAAGCTTTGTCAGGAGTTTTCTGTTATTTAACTATATTGTAAGAGTCACAAGACAGTAATTAACCACTAATGCTGTTTTTCAAAATAAAAACTCATTCACTTTTTCTTCCTGCCTCTGCTTTTTCTTCCTTCGTTGCTTCCTTTTTTTGCCCTCTATCTCTCATTATATGTCTCCACTGTCTTTTCCCCCTTCTCTGATAAGTGGAAGAAGTGCTTTGCTCTTAATGCTTTCTTTCTGATTTTTTTTTTTTTTTTTTTGGCACCCTTCTCATTTCTCCCACTTTTCTTTCTCTGCACCACTGGCTTTCTGTTCAATTCTGTACATGTTCTCGCTCTTTCTACATCGAGGCATAGAGTCGTACAGCATGGAAACAGACCCTTTGCTCCAACCAGTTCGTGCTGACTACATTCCCAAACTAAACTAGTCCCACTTGTTTGCATTTGGCCCATATCCTTCCAAACTTTTCCTATTCATGTACTTATCCAAATGTCTTTTAAATATTGTAACTAGATCCATCACTTCCTCTGGCAGTTTATTCCACACACAAACCACTCACTGTGTAAAAAAGTTGCCCTTCATGTCCTTTTTAAAACCTTCTCCACTCACCTTAAAAATATGCCTCCTAGTTTTGAACTTCCGCACCTTAGGTGAAAACACCCTTGCTGTTCACCATATCTATGCCCCTCATGATTTCATAAACCTCTTAAGGTCACCTCTCATTCTCCTACGCTCCAGTCAAAGTCCCAGTCTATTCAGCCTATTTTTATAATTCAGGTCCCCTGTTCCCAACAGCATCCTGGTAAATCTTTTCTGAACCCTCTCCAATTTAATGATGTCCTTCCTGTAGCAGGGCGACCAGAACTACACACAGTACTTCAGAAAAGGCCTCGCCAACATCCTGTACAACTTCAACATGACGCCCCAACCCCCATACTTAAATTTCTGAGCAATGAAGGCAACCGTGCCAAACACATTCTTAACTACCCTGTCTACTTGTGATGCAAGTTTAAAGAATTAAGTACCTAAAGCCCTAGGTCTACCTATTCTACAACACCACCCAAGGCCCTACTTTTAATTGTATAAGACCTGCCCTTGTTTGTTTTACCAAAATGCAATACCTTTCATTTATCCGAATGAAACTCCAACTGCCACTCCTCAGCCCATTGACACAATTAATCAAGATCTCTTTGTAATCTTAGATAACCTTCTTCACTGTCCACTGTACCATCAATTTTGGTGTCATTCACAAAATTACTAACAATGCCTCCTGTATCCTCATCCAAATTGTTTATATAAATGACAAACAAAAGGGGAACCCAGTATCAATCCCTGTGGAACACTGCTGTATGTGAGTGCACTTTTTCTCTGTTTTGTTTCCTCCCCTCTCTGCCTGTTTGTAGGTAGTGTTCTAACCATCGTTTCCTTGTAAATAGCTCTCCACATCTGGTGCAAGTAAGGGAGAGAATCAGAATTAATGGCAAACCAATCAGCAGAGAACTCTTTACAAAGTACTTCTGGCAGGTTTACAACCGATTGGATGAAACTAAGGTAAGCTGGGTATGTGCATTCTGGATATTGTGACAGTTCTCAATCCATGTATTTTGGTTCTTTAGGCTCTGCCAAAACGAATAACACTTACGTTTTGCTGAAGGATCATTCTTGACTATACTAGGGTATTATGGTATGCTTCAACCATTGACAGGCACTCTGAGCTTTTGTCATTTGTTAAAACATTGAGTTTTTAGAAATATTTTGACTAATTCACAAGATCTAGACATTGTAGGTAATTAGCATATCCCTAATTGCTCTTGGAGGTGGTTTTGAGCTACCTTCCTGAACCTCTGTAATCTTTTGAGAAGATGATGCTCCCACTCTACTGTAGGGAGTCTCTTGAATTTTGACCTGGTAATTGTTGATACAGCTTTGGATAGTATCAGAATTAGAGGTGGGATGTTCCTGGTATATTTTCCAGGTGATAGGGGTGGAAGGTGCCTTGGCGTTTTGCTGCGATGTACCTGCAGACAGGACATATTGCAATCCCACTGAGCTGGTGCTTTGTTTCTGGACAAAGCAATGACTTAATCTAATCCATATTGCATGATCAGTTCAACAGTTTGCAATTATATTGTGCCCTTCACAAACAAATCTTTGTTTTTGTTTTCATTGTGAGATTCAATTGTGGAAAGTTACGTAGTCTTCTATTTTCCATTATCCTCTGTGCAATGTGCACTTGGGCCTGAGAGGTGTTCTTTTGAACTGTAGACAGTGGTTTATCTAGTTCCACCTCCATTTACTCCTGGGCACAAGTCCCACCATGTACATGATCCCATTTAAGTATATTTTTTGAGGGCCACTGAACATGTAAAAATTATAGTCACCTCTAACCCTTTTTTTCTCTTTTCTGTCTGTCTTGATGCCGTATCCAGGATACCGACGCTGGGGCCATGCCTGCATACTTCCGTTTTCTCACCATCCTTGCCTTTCATATCTTTCTGCATGAGAAGGTGATGTCTTTGTTTCTGGATCATCATGTTTAGTGTGGGCGACAAATGTGGGTGGCCATGATGTTGCTCTCGACAGCAACTCTGACATGTTGCCGAGACTTATGGGACTGTTAGACACTCTGTACCTGGTCTCTAAGATTAAGGGCACATTGATTCATAGGTTCTCAATTGGAGATTTGAAATCCGGGACCTCGCTCTGGACCAACTCTAGAACAAAGAAGCATAGCCTATAGCTTTGGGTGTGGGGTGTGGGGTGTGGGATGTGGGTAGTATTGCTACATCAGAACCAGTAACATTTTAATTGATACTGGTACAGTTTTCTGCAAAGTAAAACATTCTGAGTTTCATTGCTATGCTCCCTCAGGTTGACCTGGCAATAGTGGAGGTTGGAATTGGAGGTGCCTATGATTGTACCAACATAATTAGGTAATAGATCTTAATTTGGTTGAAGATGACGTATTTTTCTTCCTCCCTCTCCCTCTTGTGTGTCTCTTTTTCTCTTACCCTTCCTCTCTGTTCACCTCCGTCTTCTTGCTCTCTCTTCCTCCTCCTCCTCCATCTTGGCTGCAGAGCCATGTTACTTAGTTTCAGTAAGTCAAGAAGTGCATGTTCTTTATTTAGATTGACTCACTAACCCTAAAGGAGTGGAATTCTGATCACTTGTTTCCTTGAAATGTTTAGGCACCCTGTTGTGTGTGGGGTTTCATCACTGGGGATTGATCATGTCAGTATCCTAGGAGACACCATGGAGAAAATTGCGTGGCAGAAAGGGGGAATTTTCAAGGTAAGTGGAGACTGTTCCTTAATCTGACATCGTAACACAAGAGGCTTGCACTTGCCTGATCCACTCTCCTGCAGTCCTGCCTGTGAAAGAATCCATTCATGCAGTGGCCTGTATGGGTGCTTAACAGCATTGTATTATTGTTTGCGAAATTATCCTGCATGTTGAGCAATGTACTTAAAATCTTCTCCTCTTTTGAACTAATGTGCATTTTGGTTATAGAAAGCTTAACATTTTCAGTTTCTATTTGTTTGCACTTTAAAAATAAAACCCTTTTCAAACAGAACATATCCATTCATTATGCTTTTTGACAACTGAACAAAAGCTTTTGGGACAGCCATGTGTCATACATCCTCCATGACATTGCCCTGACCAATCAGACTTTACTCGTCTAGTTTGAACTTAAACAAAAACTTGGCGATTAACTGTTCCCTGATCCATTCTCCACGGCAACATCTCAGCAAATCTGAGATCACTTGCCAACCAGTCAGCACCCTCTTCATATGTAGTATAAATTGTTGTTTCCTTTTAAGATTTGGTATTCTTGTGAGTCTGTCCTGATGAGTGCAAGCTGAAAAGCTTTGTCTTTTCTTTGTCGGTTCTAAACTAAAACATGTCAGACATGAAGCATTTTGCGGTGTTCTCTGAGATAAACTCATGTTTGCTCATTCCTGTTTCTCCTATACCCCTTCATGCTCCAATCTCGTTCTGTAATCACAGCTTTTGACTCATTTGTAAACTGATGTCTTTTCATTGTTTTCCAGCCGGGCGTCCCAGCGTTCACAGTTTCGCAACCCAGTGGTCCAATGTCTGTCCTTGTTGAAAGAGCAAAGGAAATTGGGGTGAGTGGTCCTCCTGCGTGGTGGGCGAGTGGGAAACAGTTATAGAGTCTTGGAGATGTACAGCACGGAAACAGACGCTTCGGTCCTAACTCGTCCAAGCCGACCAGATATCCTAAATCTAGTCCCGTTTGCCAGCATTTGGCCCATGTCCTTCTAAAACCCTCCTATTCATGTACCCATTGAGATGCCTTTAAAATGTTGTAATTGTACCAGCCTCTATCACTTTCTCTGGCAGCTTATTCCATACACGCACCACACGCTGTGTGAAAAAGTTGCCTCTTAGGTCCTGTTTATATTTTACCCCTCTCACCTTAAACCTATGCCCTTCAGTTTTGGATTCCTCTACCCTGCAAAAAATTATCATGGCTCATCACCCTCTCCATGCCCCTCATGAATTTATAAACTTCTATAAGGTCACTCCTCAACCTCCATCGCTGCAGTGAAAATAGACCCATCCTATTCAGCCACTCTATGTAACTCAAACCCTCCAAAACGGCAGCATCCTTGTAAATCTTTTCTGCACTCTTTCAAGTTTCACAACATCTCTCTGGTAGCAGGGAGACCAAAACTGAATGCAATATTCTAAAAATGGCCTAACCAATGTCATAACATGATATTAATGAGCAAGTATACCAAACACCACCTTCACTACTCTGTCTACTTGTGACTTTACCTTCAAGAAACTATGAGCCTGCACCACAAGGTCTCTTTGTTTGGCAACTTTCCCCAGGACCTTACCATTAAGCGTATAAGTCCTGCCCTGATTTACCTTACCAAAATGACATCTCACATTTATCTAAATTAAACTCCATCTGCCACTCCTTGACCCATCGCCCATCTGATCAACGTCCCTTTGTACTCCGAGATAACCTTCTTTACTGTCTGCTACACCACAGTTTTGGTGTAATCTGCAAACTTACTAACCATTCCTCCTATATTCACATCCAAGTCATTTATAAATAATCATTTATAAGTGACAAAAAGCAGTGGACCTAGCATTGATCCTTGCGGCATACTGCTGGTCACAGGCCTCCAGTCCAAAAAACAACCTTCCACCATCATCTTCTGTCTCTTACCTTCCAGGTAATTTAGTATCCAAATGGCTAGCTCTCCCTGGGTTCCATGTCATCTAATCTTACTAATCAGTCTACCATGCGGAACATTGTAGATCACCTTGTGAAGCCCATGTAGATAATGTCCACCACTCTACCTTCATTGGTCGTCTTTGTCATTTCTTAAAAAAAAAATCAAATCAAGTTAATGAGATACGATTTCGCACTCACAAAGCCATGTTGACTATCCCTAATCTGAACTGAGTGTTCCTTTCTGATGAAATATCCCATTGAAATCTACCTTCAGTGATGATACATGTCCCTTAGGCTGCATTTCAAACTTGCATTGTTGCCAGTTAATAAACTCTTTCACCATTTGGCTAAATCTTTCTTAGAGACTGACAGTGCTCCATACACTCATTGTTCAGTTTCTTAAAGGACACAGGCTGCAAGCCTGAGCAGGCTGCTCAACCACAGTGAAAACAGTACCTGGTCTGATTCAACGCTTGCTTGATGCTCTGGTACCACATTATCCAGCAGCAGCCTTGGAATCCAGGAAGAATTGGAGTTCTGTTACCCTCCTCCCTAGTCCAAGGTGCTGAAGTCAGTCATAGTAGCCTTATTGCTAATCCTGGTTAGTGTACTTCAGTTATTACCTGCATTTAGCAACCATACCTCCAGAAGGAACATGCTCAGATGCTGTGATCTTGAGATCCTATTTTTCCATGTAGCAGCTTTCATCATCTTCATTCACGGGGCTCAGCAGTCACATTGAGGGGTCCTGTTTGTGGGAATGAAATTGGAGACAGTGGGAAGGTGCTGACAACAGTTACGTGCTCAAGCATTTTAGTTTTGCCCTCTTCTGGTCATTTTCTGTAGGCTATACGAGGAGCAATCTTAACTGAATTTATTTCTTCTTACACCATTGGATTAAATGAGGGTAACAGTGCCCTAATGGAATGATTCGAATGACCTGCTAATTCCATTTCTGAGATTTCGGTGAAAGTTAGGCTGGATAATATACTCTTGTGTTTCTTTCCCCAGTGTTTCCTGCAGCTCTGTCCGGAATTGGAGGATTTCCAGTCTGAGGGGGAGAGGTTGAGCTTGGGGTTGGCAGGAGAACATCAGAAATCTAATGCGTCTCTGGCGCTGCAGCTGTGTAGGACGTGGCTGCAGCATCATAACCACCCAGGTGAGAAGATGGCATTTTGACTGACTGGGCTAGAAAAACTACCCGCAGTGAGATTCCGAGGATCATATTTTAGGTTAAATGTGTTTGCATCTCTAGCCCTAATTTTGGGGTCTCTGAAATAAGCAACTCCAATCCCTACCTGTGACTGAGATTGATTTGTCTAATGATGTCCTTTTGTACCACTAAGAATCACCCATGAGCCTTGTCTGTTGCTTAGCTGCAGAAATGGTTTGGCTGAAATCAAACCCAATCTCACTCTGGGGAAGAAAAAAGATTTGCATTCATATACCTTGTGATTATAAGCTGCTTTCCAATGGGACATGTCAGTGCTGTACAGCCAATTAAGCCCTTAAATATAGTCATTGCTCTTGTTTATGGAAGTTCTGCAGCCAGTTGATGCAGAGCAAATTCCCAGAGAGAATAATGTGATAATACTCAGAAAATTGGATTTTTCTGATGTTGCTTGAGTGATAAATATTGGCCAGGACACCAGGGATCATTTGCTTCCAATTTTTCAAAATAGTACCATTGGATCTTTTACACGCTCTGGACCAGGCAGATGATTTAATAGTCATACAGCATGGAAACAGACCCTTCGGTCCATGCCGATCATAATCCCAAATTAAACTAGTCCCACCTGCCTGCGCTTGACCCATATCCCTCCAAACATTTCTTATTCATGTATACTTATCTGAATGTCTTTTAAACATTGTAACTGTGCATACATCAACCACTTCCTCTGAAAGTTCATTCCACACACAAACCAATCTATTTAAGAAAAAAAAATTCCCCTCTCTTTTTTAAATCTTTCTCCTCTCACCTTTAAAAATATGTCCTGTATTCTTGAAATCCCCCCTACCCTAGGCAGAAGACACCTGCCATTCACCTTATCTATACTTCTCATGATTTCATAAACCTCTATTTATCAGTCCAGTGGAAAAAAGTGCCAGCCTATCCAGCCTCCCCCCATAGCTTAAACTGTCCATTCCTGACAACATTCTGGTAAACCTCTTCTGAACCCTTTCCAGCTTAATAATATCCTTCCTGTAACAGGGAGACCAGAACTTTACACAGTATATCCCAGAAGAGGTCTCACCAATGTCCTGTACCACCGGAACATAATGTCTCAACTCCTATACTCAAAGGTCTGAGCAATGAAGGCAAGCGTGCTAAACACCGCCTTAACCACCCTATCTATATGTGATGCAAACTTCAAAGAATATGTACCTGAACCCCTAGGTTTGTCTGATCTACAATATCTCCATTGACCATATAGCACTGCACTGGAGTGTAAGCCTTGATTTTGTCAAGTCCTGGAGTGGGATTTGAACCTGGAACCATCTGACTCTGAGGTCAGAGTGCTACCAACTGAGCCGTAGCTGATTCTTTGTAGCACTGTGTAAGTGTGTGCTTGTGCTACTTTAGGGATGGATTTTAACCCAGAGGTTAGTGGCCAAGTGTTTAATAGAATGTGTCAACCAGCCTCAGTTACAGGAGTTTATGATTAACATTCTTATGTTTACTTCTGTCTTGTGGAATGTCTTTCTTTAAACAGTGGTGAGGAGGGAATTGCCAGCTGTCACCGAAACTGGCACTGCTTGGTTAAAAACTGAAGCTTCCCCTCATATTGGTAATGATTAAACCTGGGTAGATTTCTTTCTGGGTCTTGGAATCATTTAGTTTGCAATTGGTGATAATGAACTGAGTTCCTTGGAGTATTTTGGGCTTAATTAAAGTTAGCATTTTGGAAAAAAACTCCTGATATGTTTGTGTCGCAGGCTGGGACAGTGTTGGAGGAGTGTTAGTGCTATAAGACGGGAGTCTCCAGCTGTGGTACGGTACCTCAGCATGAGTCCAGTGCCTGAGAGAAACTAAATTTTTTTGCTGTAAGGGGAAGAGCAGTTTGTCTTTATTGGAAATATTTGTGTAGCAACACCCAATGTCACTCCCCATCTTGGCAGTGAGTGTGGGGAAAAATATTTTTTAGATGTGTACAGGTATACGTTTTACTGCCCCATAACAACCAGTATATTACTTAACTGCACCTGAATAATCTTGTCTGACATCAATGGGGAGACATTATTTTAAGGCTTCAGTTTCTAGCTGCAAAATGATTATTTGTCTCCTCACTGTCAATTGACCTGGCCTCAACCATTTTACTTCTATAGACCCCTCTCATGTGTTAAAGATTCCACAGACCCTCTGTAACACAATATATGCTTTTTCTGTCTAAGTATTGTACAATTAAATGCATATAATTATTATTTTTGTGTTGTTTACTTAATCTGAAACTGGCACCAGATTGAGCTTTGATTGAAGGTAGTGGTGGTTTATTACAGCTAGAGACAAATTGGCGTGAATCCGTTGTCAGATACTTTCTGGTGACTGAATCAGAATAGCCTCAGTGAAGGTCCAACCAGCACCTCCGCTAATGTGGCCACTATGACAGAAAGTTGTGTGTGATGGCTTTACAGATTTTTAATTTGATTTCCTGTGACTAGATTTTCAAATGATATGTTTTTAGAAGTCACTTTCATAATTGTGAGAGAAGAATTTGGAGCATTTGCCCTGATCTTAAATTTGTTTCTATTGGTTTTGATTCTTGCAGATTTTCCTCCACTCCAACAACCTCTGGACTTTCCTGAAAGATATGAGATGCAGCGACCACCCATCAGCTCAGGATTCTGCCTAACTACCCCCATGATAAATGGTAACAACCCACTTCCTTATGTAAAACCCCACAATTCCTTGCTGTCAAGGACTTTCTGATTTCATCCTCAGCTGCTGGGTATGAGTGAATCCTGGTAGCGAACATTCTCTTGTTATAGGGAACATCAGTGGATTTATAGGATTGATGGAACAGGAGCAAGCATTTTAAGTCGTTCAACCTGTCAAGCCTGCTGCACCATTCTTGACTGATTTTGTTTCTTAGCTCTACCGCCTCCCCCATAATATCCTTTCTGAACAAATAGTCTTATTCACAATTTGAGTATTATTTAAAATCTGAGTATCCACAGCTTCTTGAGGGAACATATTTCGAGAATTGGATGACATGCTTGACTCTTCCAGGTCCTAGCTCTAATTTTAAAATGAATAAACCTTTTTACTTTTTCCTTACTTTTGCATGAGTACATAGCCCACCAGAGGTAAAAACACCCAGTATTGCACTTGTTGGGATATGTGACCTGGAAATCCACTTTAACCTTTGGAGGCTGAGCATGTGGGTGGAACTCAGTTTAGTCAGTGTGTTAATAGAGCCATGTGTGGGCAGTTTTCATTAAAGATCACTATCCTGGAGTAAGGGAGCTTTCACCTCAATGTTGAGGGAGGGGCATTGCTTTCCGAGATTAGGAGCATGGTAGATGTATTTGTTGACCATAGGTGATATTGCTTATTTGCAGTGACTATTCATTTAATTCTTGTACTTCCAAGACTTTTTCAAAAGGCTTTAAGAGTCAACCACATAGCATCATGCGTGGGTCAGACCTTGTGAAATTAGTTCCTTGAAATAAATTAATGAAGTAGTTTAGGTACACTGAGACACAAGCTTCATTGTTCTTTTCCTTCTGTGCTGTGATAGTGTATAATGTCACAGTTGCCATGCTGGAATTGTGTTCTCTTGGATTGACAGTTCAGTACAGGGCATTCTGCTATAATGTGTGTTCCAGCAACGTGAATTGGCTATAACGTGACTGATGAATTGGGGAATGCTATTTCTAAAATATGAACTTGTGTTGGCTTATAACACAATTCCATCAGTTCCAACCTCTCTCCTTCAACCCCTGGACCAGGGTGCAATAGCAGCTTTTAAAGATTATTCATTAAGGTGCACATTTAAGAGGCTGATTGCAGGCACTGAAGGGGATAGGACGATGTTCTTCAATTTTGGAAGAGATTTAACATCAAAAATGCAATTGACATTATCGTGGAGATGAGGGATGATGTCACTAAGCACTCCTTGCATGCAGTTTGGCGGACGCTTCTCCCAGATTTTTTTCAAGATTTTAAAGGCTTTGATCTGTCAGAAGAGCTCCCAAGAATCAAAGAACATTGTGTTGATCTTGCAAAGTAAGTTGGATTTGAAGAAGTGGAGAGTGAGGATGTTGAAGAGCTGCTTGAGTCCCACTGTGAAGACCTCTCTATAGCTGATCTACAACCACTTGTCGCTGAGGGCGAAGTGGAAGTTGGAGATGAAGAAGTCGTCCAGGATGCAGCACAGCAAGACCTTTCCACTTCTGTTTTGTCTTCTATCCTGAGGGAGATTTAGAAGCAGTTGCAGCTCTTAGAGGACAGCAATTACAATGCAGAATGCAGCAAGGTAGCAGATTGTGGTATAAGATCTTTCTTGGCACCCTATGAACAGCTTCTTCATGAAAGAAAAAAAAGGGAAAGCAGCATAAACTGGCTGTCTTTTTTTAAGTCAACCCCCAAGAAATAGAAAACAATGAGCCACAGCCATCCACTTCTGGATTAACTACTTTTTGCCCTAACCCTGCAACCACAACTGCACCTGAAGGTGGTGGTGGTGATAATAATAATGATGATGATGCCGACCACCCTCAGCCCCTGCATTGAGCAGAGTAATCTCAAAACTTACTCCCCCATCAAGTCATCTTGACATTTTTTCAAGTGTTAAATTTACTTTTATTTCATTATTAGATTTCATTATTAGATATGAATTAAATATTTATTCAAACTGTGATATCCTTTATGTTCGGCTTTTGAGCGATTATTGGGCAATTTTGAGTGATGTTTTTTGGTAGTCTGCTCCTAACCCTGCTTTTCCCTGTTATGTCTATAGCGCGATGATGGCGCAAGAACGCAACTATCGCGTTATAGCAGAACCCCCTGTACTTCAGTCTGTACCATATATAACTCTTATACCCTTGGCACTTTTCTAATTCTGGCCTAATTCTATGGCAGAGGTCAGGAAACTTAATAACAAGAAATGTCGGTTTCAAATTGTAGTCAAAAACTCATTATCTTAAGGGCCATAATGTTATTACTCAAATGCCAATGATAATGAAAAACAAGGTAGCAACTCATTTCAATAATATTTTAAATATTTTTAATTAATGGTACTTTCTCACAAATGCAATTATAATCAAAGTTTTAAAAAATGTACCAAGCAATTTTAATTGCAGTCAAAGTGGGTCAGATCATTCAAGGTCAGAAGCCATCTGATGTGGCTCCAGAATCGCAAGTTTCTGATCTCTGGTCAAAGGATATGTGGTTGTGAATTGACCAGATGTCTTGTGGCTACAGGTATAAATGTCTGCTGCTGCTGCCATCTGGTGGATTTTGCTGGCGTGACACCAGGGGCTGCATTTTTCCAGTGATTGAGTGAAAAACCTGGCCAGAGAATTGCCTGAGATTAATAATGAGGTTCCTGAAGTCGCAAGCAACAAATCCCATTTCCAGTCAAGTATTGAAATGTGAGACAGTATGTGCTAGTGAGCATTGTCTGCATAAGCGTGAATTAACAGCTTGTTATTATGTAATCTTACCTCACTGATATGCAGTTTCCTACTCTCCTACCTGCCAGATAGAAACTAGACAGTGACAATTCCTGACATGAAAGTCAGGGCAAAACCTGGCAACTCCAACTCACTGTTTGCTCTTCCAGACCTCCATCTTCGACACCATGCACCAACATTGCAGCATGCTCTATTGGCGGATGCCAGTTTCCCTCTGACATATCTGAGCAATTGGCAGGAACCATAGAGGAAAACTCTGGACTGCCAGCGCTTGACCAAGTGCATTGCTAAGATTGTGCTAGTACCAGGAATCCTGGGAGGTATTGGCAGTGGCCAGTACTTCCGACTGTGGTGAGTGAGAAAATAGGATGAGCATTATGCCATACATGATGTGTAGGTAAAGAGGTGAGTTTGGGATAATTATCATGAGAAAACACAATAAGGCTCACTAAGAGAAATGCTCTATGAAACTTGCCAAAATTGACATTAGGCTGATTTCTGGTAAAATTCAGCCCATAGCCTTTGCAGAAAGGGAGGAAACAGTGTGTTTCATTGTTCCTAAGTCTGAAACAGGATCATTTGTATGAGTAATTGACGATCCAATAGGTAAGTGAAATGACCAGTAGAGTCAGTCACATTCAAACAAATCATGAAATTGTGCAATGGTGACTGTATACCACCAAAGTGACACTAATCCCACTTTGGAGCACTAGGCCCTTAGCTTTGAATGTAATGACATTTCACGTGGTAATCCAAGTATATTTTTAAATGTTATAACGTTACCCACTTCCACTACCCTCCCAGTCATGTATTCCAGACTCCCACCATCCTTTTTGGTGAAAAAGAAATCCTGATAGGGTTTTAGTAGAGAAATGGCAGAAGGTTTGCTGAGCAGGTGTCACTTGATAGTACTACTGAAAACCCTTCCATCATTTTGATGATTGTGAGTATGGCAGTACTACCAAGCAGCACTTGCTCAACAATAATCTGTTCTTTGATGCTTAGTTTTGGTTTCACCAGGATTGCTGAGCTCTTGAGCTCATTGTGGCTTTGGTCCAAATGTAGACAAAAGAGCTGAACTCAGGCAGGAAGTGAAAGTGACTGCCCTTGAAAGTAAGGCAGCATTTGACTGAGAATAATACTAATAATAAGGAGCCCTAGCAAAATTGACATCAGTGGAAATGTGGGGAAAATGCTATGCTTGTTGAATTCATACCTAGCACAAAGGAAGACGTTTGTTGTTGGCAGTCACTCATGCAAGTCCCACGACACCCCTGCAGGAGCTTCTCAGGGTACTATCCTAGGCCTAACAATCTTCACCTACTTCACCAATGAAGTTCCGTTCATCAAATCAGAAGTGGAGGATATTCACTGATATTTGCACAGTGCTCAATGCCATTCATGACTCATCAGATACTGAAGCAGTCCAGGTCCATAGATAGCAAGATGTGGAAAGCACGAAGACCCTGGTTTGGAGTGGCAAGTGCCACAGAGATACCATGTTCCGTTTTCATTGCTGAATCCCTCACTTTCAACATTATGATGTTACCATTGACCAGAAACTGAACTGTGGCAACTATATAAATACTGTGGCTAAAAGAGCAAGTCAGAGGCCAGGAATTCTGCAGTAAATTGCCTCCTGTGTCACCATTGCCTGTCCACCATCTATGAGGCCCAAGTCAAGTGTGCGATGGAATACTGTCCACTTGCCTGGGTGAATGCAGCTCCAACAACACTTTATTCTCAGCACCATTCAGGGCAAAGCGTCCCACTGGATTTTCACTCTATCCACCACCTTAAATGTTCATTCTTTCCACCATTGTTGCACAGTGACAGCAGCATGTAACATCTATAAGATGCACTGCAGCAACTCACTGAGGCTCCTCCAGCAATACCTTCCAAACCCTTGGCTTCAACACCTAAATGGAGAAGGATAGCAGGGAGCACCTCCACCTGAAGGTTCTCCTGAAATCTACACACACTCCTGACTTAGAACATTTCTGTTCCATCATTGTGCATTGGTTAAAATCTAAACAGCTTTGTGGGTTAACTGTGTGTAGATTGCAACAGTTCAAGATCTTCTCGAGACAACTAGGAATGGGGAATTAAATGCTGGCCTAGCCAGTGACACCCACAGTCACCTTTTTTTAAAAAACAGTTTCACTTTAGGTGCATTAGCAAAGTTCTGAAAATGTATCAGCCAAGACTCTCATCATAGCAAAACTACATATCATTCCACAAGGACTTGGTGGAAGCCTGGCCCTGGTACCAATTATAACATTTCAGCTGCAAGAATTACAAGAGTCAAAGCTGTGGCTTATTGTCTCCATGTCTCAAATTTCCTATTGTGCTGAAGCATCAGGGCAACTGAAGCCATTTGCAACTCTCCTGTGGCCACCACGTGCAGAGATCAGCTCACCATGACAGAATCAAATTTCAGACCTCTTGTATCGACTTGTGTATTAGACTGCATAGTTATTAAATAAGCCACTGGTGAGACAATGAGGGAGCACTAAAATACTGATCTGCTTATTTTTTTTGCTTCTGTCTAGCAGTCGATACAATAATTAAACACTGGACAGTTGGTCTTCATGTGCACAATCAGCAACTATCTACATACTGCTGTTCCTGCTGTATTAATTCCAAAAGGGGATTATATTGAATTATTTTTTGTCTCAGGATGAGATGTTTACTGAGATATTTGTGTCACCGATAGCCACAAGTGAGGTGCCGGAAGACTGGAGGTTGGCTAATGTGGTGCCACTATTTACGAAAGGTGGTAAGGAAAAGCCAGGGAACAATAGACCGGCAAGCCTGACATTGGTGGTAGGCAAGTTGTTGGAGGGAGTCCTGAGAGACAGGATTTACATGTATTTGGAAAGGCAAGGACTGATTAGGGATAGTCAACATGGCATTGTGCATGGGAAATTGTGTCTCACAAACTAAATTGAGTTTTTTGAAGAAGTAACGAAGAAGATTGATGAGGGCAGGGTATTGGACGTGATCTATATGGACTACAGTAAGGCATTCGACAACATTCCTCATGGTAAACTGGTTAGCAAAATTAAATCACATGGAATACAAGGAGAACTAGCCATTTGGATACAGAACTAGCTCGAAGGTAGAAGACAAAGAGTGGTGGTGGAAGGTTGCTTTTCGGACTGGAGGCCCGTGACCGGCGGTGTGCTACACGGATCAGTGCTTTATATAAATGATTTGGATGTGAACATAGGAGGTATAGTTAGTAGGTTTACAGATGACATCAAAATTGGAGGTAGTGGACAGCAAAGAAAGCGTATGTTGAGGTAAGTGGGACCTGGATCAGATGGACCAATGGGCTGAGGAGTGGCAGATGGAGTTTAATTTAGATAAATGTGAAGTGCTGCATTTTGGAAAAGCAAATCAGGGCAGGATTTATACACTTAATGGTAAGGTCCTGGGGAGTGTGGTAGAACAAAGATCTTGGAGTGCAAGTTCACACTTCCTTGAAAGTGGAGTTGCAGGTAAATAGGATACTGAAGATGATGTATGGTATCCTTGCTGTTATTGGTCAATGCATTGAGTATAGGAGTTGGGAGGTCATGTTGCAGCTGTACAGGGCATTGGTCAGGCCACTTTTGGAATACTGCGTGCAATTCTGAATTCTGGTTTCCCTGCTGTAGGAAGGATGTTGTGAAACTTGAAAGAATTCAGAAAAATTTAAAAGGATGTTGCCAGGGTTGGAGGGTTTGAGCTATAGAGAGAGGCTGAATAGGCTGGCTCTGTTTTTCCTGGAGCGTCGGAGGCGGAGGGATGACCTTACAGGGGTTTATAAAATCATGAGGGGCATGGATATGGTGAATAGCCAAGATCTTTTTTCAGGGGTGGGGGAGTCCAACACTAGAGGGCATAGGTTTACAGTGAGAGGAGAAAGATTTAAAAGGGACCTAAGGGGTGTTGCGTGTATGGAATGAGCTGCTAGAGGAAGTGGTGGAGGCTGGTACAATTACAACATTTAAAAGCATCTGGATGGGCATATGAATAGAACATAGAACAGTACAGGCCCTTTGGCCCACGATGTTGTGCTGAAATTTTACCCTAATCCTAAGGTCTATCTGACCTCCACCCCTACCTTATGCTATCATCCATATGCCTATCTAATAGCCGCTTAAATGCCCCTAATGAGGCTGACTCCACTACCCTCTCCGGCATTGCATTCCACATCCCAGCCACTCTCTGAGTAAAGAACCTACCTCTGACGTCTCCCCTATATCTACCTCCACTCACTTTAAAACTGTGCCCCCTCGTAATAGCTACCTCCACCCTAGGAAAAAGTCTCTGACTATCCACTCTATCTATACCTCTGAATAGGAAGGGTTTAAGAGGGTATGGGACTAGGTTTATTTAGGATATCTGGTTGGCATGGACGAGTTGGATTGAATTGTCTGTCTCTGTGTTGCATATCTCTATGACTGTATTATGACCTGTACCTAGTTGAGACTTCAGGCAGAATGGAGTAATTAGCTGGTCCCCTTTCCCTGAAGTTATTTTGAGTTTGTGAGTATTTCTGTTGTAGCCCATGTTTCTTTTGAATATTGACCATGGATTTTAAAGTGAAGAATTATTTTGTCTTCAATCCTCTTCCTGTAGGATTGCGTGATACAAAATGGCTAGGCCGATCGCAGATCCTGAAGCGAGGACCAGTGACGTATTACATTGATGGCGCTCACACTATTGGTAGTATAAAGGTGTGTTGGTATTACCTGAGATCTCGCCTCTCTTTATTAGTGTTGTTGGTGCTCCGTTTAGGGAAGCTGAACCAAAGATTGGAATCCCAATCGGACTTTTAAAAGGCTTGGAAGAGCTGCGGCATGCAGAACTGTATGATCCATGTCTACATTTCCCCCGCACATGAGCATCTTGTTTGCAATGGTGTGTATTTCTGGAATAGATGAAAAGCGATGGTACATTTAGGCCAAGGTTATTCCAACTTTAAAATGTCAGGATATCCTCTAGGAGGTAACCTCAATCTTGCTGAGCTTGTCCAAATATGATCATTCTGATGGAGATGATACAGAATCTGTAAAGGAGCTTAGGTAAGATGGATGCTGAAGTTTGAAACAGTTCATTGACATAGTAAAAGGAATTGCTAGAAATGCTGAAAGTTGAGTTTGGAGTATACATGGCATGTGAGATGGTAGTGAGGTGCAGCTGAGTGTTGCAGTCAGCATGTGGACACCGCTGTGTTGCTGAAGGTAAAAAAGAGGCTGTAGATAAATGTTTCTGGTGGACAAGTCATTGCCTTAGATGGTCTGCTAATAAAAGGTAGATCTAAGCAAAGGCAAGTCCATTGAGTTGGATAATAGTGGAGGGAAAGCTGTTGTAGGAGCATGATCCAATCAATGAGGAGAAAAGATGCTTCACGGTCCAGAGAATGTTGGTATATTTGGTTAAGGCCATTTGCTCAGTGCCAGAAACCTGATTGAAATTGTAGGAAAGAAGATACAGATTCTGTAGGTGACAACCTGCTGAAGAGCAATGGAATACCAAGTGAGTTTGTATTTGAGATTTGTAGCTTCCAAAGGTAGGTGAATAATGAACAAAGATGCTAGCAATCACAGCGGGTCAGGCAGCATCTGTGGAGAGAGAGCGAGCTAACATTTCATATCTAGATGCCTCTTCATCAGAACTGACGAGAAGTGTGGAGGGGGGAGCATTCATGTAGTTATGTAGGCGTGTAGTGCTGGGGGGGTGGGGGTAAAGGGTGCAGATTAAGTGATCAGAATGTGAGAATAGCAGAACAATAGTGTGTCTAACTGCCAGGAAAGAACGGAGTCCCACTGGAGTTGGTGGGAAGGGAAGAGAGCACATGGTGACAGAGAATGTAACGTCTAAAGCTAAAAGAAAGTAAAGAAGTGGGAGTGTGTACACAATCTGAAGGTGTTGAACTTGATATCGGGTCCAGAACGTTGTAAAGTGCCTAGTCTGAAGATGAATGTTGTTCCTTCAGTTTGTGCTTTGATTCTCTGGAGCATTGCTGCATGCAGAGGACAGATAAGTGGGCACGCGAGCAAAATGCTGTTTTTAAAGTGATTGTAAGATTCCAGCATCTGCAGTAATTTGCTCCTACAAGTGAATAATTTTGCTTATTGATGGAGGGAGAAGGATAAAGTTACAGAAGAAGATATGCTCTTTTATAGAAATGTTTCCCGTTGTGACCCCATTTGGTGCTTGGAAATTGATGAGACCCCAGACCTGAAAGAATGATGAGTGAGAGCAGCAGGGGGTGGATGCACTTTAATTGACAGCATTTTTAACTAATAAGCTCAGTCCTTTCCATTAGGCTTTTACAGATAAGATTCAGACCTACAAGATGAGGCAATTAGGTCACACTATGTGCAATTTAAAGGGGCCTCTCAGCTGTTAGCTCGCAGCAGTACTTGCTGTCTCAGAGCTTGCAGCCCAAAAGATTTACCACTATAGTTGTGACCCACAGTTTGGGAAGCTATGTCTTTGACCTTTGTTCTTTGGGCATGAGCACTGACTCTGGTTTTGTTTTCAGGCCTGTGTCAAGTGGTTTCGGGAACATTCGTTGAAGGAAGCAAAAGCTGTGGGGTGAGTGCCTGCAATGTTTTTAAGGATCAAGGCTGTACTGTAACACTGTGCCGAGGCAGTTTAAATCCACAAGGTATTTACAACGTAACAGCTTCCCGTATTCTCCCTACATAGGTAAATGAAAGTACGGCCTGGCATCAACCTGATATTTGACGTATTGAGTCTCACCTTGGGCAGCAATTGGATGATAAAATAACCTCTGTGCTTTTTGATGAGTGGGGTTGGGACTGAAGTTTGCAGGGTTGGGGGATGGAGTTAGGTGAGGGAAGAAACATTATCCAGGATTCTTTTTTTCTGAACACTGTCCTGAGACTCCTGCTAGAGGTAGGTATAGTTTTAGACAAGTTCAAAGCAATAAGATTGGGGTAAGAGAAAATCATTATGGTTCAGAAGGCCAGAGGTATAATCTGCCTTTCATGCTCCTTTTGCCAAATTCTTTACAGGCTTCCTCAGATTTACTGAAGTAATCTGTTCATATTGCTTCCCCCTGGGTAACAACTGAGCGCATTCATCACCATATCTTTGCATTGGGACTTCATTGTAAAGCTAAAATATCTTTACTGTAGATGCTGAAAATCTGAAATAACATGCTAGAAATATTGAGCATATCTGGCAGCACCTTAGTGAGAGAAACAAAACTCAAGTTTCAGGTCCATGTTATACGAGATCGTCATTTATGTTAACCTTGCTGTTAACTGACCTGACTCTTCCTGGCATCCTGTTCAGTCAGATTTCAGTACGACTTCCTGGGAATAGTCAGGCAACATTTGGATTGACTTGTCAACCTTTACAAGCCAATCTTTTTCCCATTGTGGTTATTTTAATAGCAGAACTTAAACTGTTTAAACCAATGTTTTTTTTTCAAAAGTACTAATCTTGGTAACGTCATAGCCTTCGTAGTCAAGAAAGACATTTAGGCAAGATGCCAGGCAGCAATCTGGATCAGTGTCTTCAGAAGAATTCAAAGTAACCCTTGTAAAGTGAATGCCTGTATTAATTGTTTAAGTAGCCTGATCGTTTTTCCTTTCTGTGTGCTATTACATCTTCTGCTGACACCAATCTAGAAAGGTTCAGCCCCACATAAACCATCTGACTGAGATGATAGGACAGGGTAATGGGTGTCTCAAACCAGAAATAAAAGAAGGGTGTGGTTAATTTGGGACAATGACACCCCCAACCCCCCCTACAGGATCTGTTCAAAGAGGGGACACAGCCCTGAGGGAGATAGGGTATATGGAGAAGGAGACAAAAAGAGGAGATGACATACTCACGAGATAGGTAAGGCATCAGAAACTGCTGGGATGAAGTTGATTTCATGGTGGTTTAGTTATTGAGCTAATCTTTCTTTTCTGGCAGAGGACCCGTGGTACAGGTACTACTGTTCAACACAACAGGGGAGCGTGATGCTGCCGCACTACTTAAGCTGCTCATGGTAAGAATGGGCTGCACCATAACATCTGTAGAGAATTGGAAGATTGATCTGCTTTTTTAATGTAATGAAGGATTGTAGTGTTACACTGAAGACACTTGTTCACTTTGTAAGATTTTGGGTATGGGAGTCGTAGCTAACCAAGTTAGGCAGTTGAGTATATGCAAATAATTTTAAGATACTTGTATCTGAACTGTTGTTTCTTAATCAAGGCTTTGGCTAAATAGAAAGGAAAAGTCCATCACTTGTGATAGCTGAGAGGGGTTTATTAATCTCAGAGAATGAACAGATGGTTGGCACAATGTGTATAGTTCTTAGTTGCCTATGATGGCAGAATTCTGCTCTCTAGCCAAAATGTTAGTGAACTATTCCCCTGTTCTGCTTGTATCTTCAATGATCCATCATGTTTTTGAAGAAGTTGGCCATGTGATGAAGACTGTCCCATTTCTGAGCACTTTATTTGTTGGGATGGCGGTTTACCTCGTGTCAATCACTTCCTGGAACCTTTCTAGCCAATGAATACAGTACCGGTCACCTGATATCAGGGTGATCACCTTTCCCACCATACCATCATTTAGCTTGAAGTCACTTTTTAGTTTGCCTCTTGCTGAGAGTGGTTTCCCAAACCCTGCCAGACATTTGTAAGTAAGAGAAGTGCAAAATGATGTCCTATTGACTTAGGAATGTCAACATGGAAGACTGAGTTGAGATCTCACATTGTAAGGACCGTTTGCGTTTTTCCAGAGAAAGAAAGAAAACAAGGCCACCTCAGCAGTTATGCCATCGATTCCATAAGCATTCTATACTTATTTTGAAAAGCATTCTTTACTAAAGGTCCCATTTCTTATGACACCTAAGAGTTTTTGACTTCAGCCTTATTACTACAGTCTCAACTACTGGTTGGTTACAAACTAAGATAGGAATGGTTTGCGGCTTGGGGGCATACTTGCAGGTGGTGATGTTCCTACGTATCGGATGCCCTTTCCTTCTAAATGGGTGGTGGTTATGGGTTTGGAAGGTGCTAAGGAACCTTGAAGAATTTCTGTAGTGCATCTTGTAGATGATACATATTTCTGCTACCGAGCACCTTTGATGGATGTGGTGCCTCTCGCTGCTTTTTCCGGGATGGTGCCAAGTGTTGTTTGAGGTGCGCTCTTCTAGTAAGTGTGGAGTATTTCATCACAGTCACTGTCACCTCATCTCTGGAAATCAGCTTTGTTGACCATGTTTGAACCAAGGCTCTAATGACGTCAGAAATTAAGTAGCCCTGGCAGAACCCAGACTGAGGGTCAGTAACTAGGTTATTGCTAAGCAAGTATTGCTTGATAGCACTGTTGACAACACCTTTTGTCACTTTACTGATAATCAAGGGTAGATTGATGGAGTGGTAATTGGTCATGTTAGATTTGTTCTGCTTTTTCTGTAAGGGATATACTTGGGCAATTTTCCACATTGCTGGGTAGATGCCATTGTTATGGCTGGACTGGAACAGTTTGGCTAACGGCATGGCAAGATTTGGTGCACAAGTCTTCAGTGCTATTACTGGAATGTTGTCAAGGCCAATAGCCTTTGCAGTATCCAGTGCCTTCAGTTGTTTTTCGATTTGAAGTAGTGTAAGTAAGATTGGCTGAAGATTGGGATCTGTAATACTGGGAACCTCTGGAGGAAGCCGAGATGGATCATCCACTCAGTACTTCTGGTTGAAAATTGTTGTGATTTTATTTTAATCTTTTGCACTGATGTGTTAGGCTTCCCCATTATTGAGAATGGGCATGTTTGTGGAGTCACCACCTCCAGTGAGCGCCAAAGATATCGGTGCGGGGACCACATTTGTGGATAATATAAAAACAGGTGGGAAGCCAAATGGGATGAAGCAAACAGGAATATACATAGGTTAAGAGAATTGGAAGAGCTTGGCAAATGGATATCAGTGGGAAAATGTGAAGTTATGTATTTGTCAGGAAGAATAAAAGAGCTGAATATTATTCTAATAACACAAAAAACTGGGATATGTAGATTTGGTGGGTTATAAGGGGATGCATCTGGGTAGGATGCTCTGAGGGTCAGTGTGGACTTGTTGGGCCGAAGGGCCTGTTTCCACATTGTAGGGATTCTGTGATACTCTATGAACTGTGGATGCTATGAACTGAAATCGGAAATGAAAACAGAAATTCTGGAAAATCTCAGCAGGTCTGGCAGCATCAATGGCAAGAAAGCAGAATTAACATTTCAGGTTCAGTGACGACTCTTCAGAATTGAAGAAGGGTCACTGAACCCAAAATGTTAATTCTGCTTTTTCTCCACAGATGCTTAATATTATTTAAATGGAGAGTAACTGCTGGAAGCTGCAGCACAGAGGGATTTAGGGTCCTTATGCATGAATCACAAAAACTAACATCCAGTTCAGCAGGTAATATGGAATTAAGTGAACTGTTAGCCTTTTTAATTTCAAAGGTTATTGTCGCATAAAAATAGATAAGTCTTGGTAAAACTGTACAAGACAGCAGTCATTTCACAGTATTCTGGGTTGGGTAAGGTTTTGGTCCTCTTATCTAAAGAAAGGTACACTGGCAGTGGAGGCAGTCCAGGGAAGATTCACTAGATTCATCCCAGGTATGGAGGGATTTTCTTGAGAGGTTGAGCAGGTTGGACTTGTACTCGCTGGCCTTCAAAGAATAAGGGGTGACAGTATTGAAACATACAGGATTCTTTGTAGGGGTTGACAGGGTAGTTTGTTTCCCCTTCTGGTACATATTGGGACCAGAGGATGTAATTGCAGAATAAGGGATTACCCATTTTAAGGCAGAGATGAGGAGGTGTGCTGCAGAGAGCTGTTGAGGCTGAGTGGTTAAGTATATTCAAGTTTGAGCTAGACAGATTTTTAAAACAATTATGGAATTAAAGGCTATGGAGAAAAGGCCAGGAAATTGAGTTGAGGATATACAGAATAGCCATGATTTAATTGGTATAGCAGACTTGGCGGGCTGAATGAACTACTTCTGTTCCAGTGTCTTATGGTGTCTGGCTATTTGTTTGTCGTAAACAAGAAGTTGCTGTTTCACTTTGTACACAGACAGGTCCTTTTGCTTCCCTCATATGCAACTTTCATACTATCGCATCCACATCTTGTTTATTTTAAATCATTATGTTCCTTTGGACGAGTTAGTTTGAATGGATTATTTCTGTAAAAGTTGAAGTCATAAAAGATGTGCAATGTGTAAACTCTTGCTCCGTTTACAGCAGTATGCAGTCACATATTCCTTGTATACTAAATTGTATAAAAAATGATAACGCAAGATAATAATAATGTTGACTATCTAGTTCCATTAATCCTCTTAACTGTGACTTCTCTATGTTTCCATTTCAGTGTATTTAACTTTCTTTAAGTAGAGAAGCTAGCAGGGTAGACAAACACTGGAACCTAATTCCTCTGTCACAGGATTTTTTTTTATTCACTCAAGGGACATAGGTGTTACTCGCTGGCCAGCATTTATTGCCAGTCCCTAGTTGCTCTTGAGAAGGTGGTGGTGAGCTGCCTTCTTGAACCATTGCAGCTCATGTGCTGTAGGTGGATCTGCAACGCCATTAGGAAGGGAATTCCAGGATTTTGATACAGTAACAGCAAAGTAACAGCAATATACTTTCAAGTCAGGGTGGAGGTTGGCTTAGAGGGGAATTTGCAGACTGTGGTGTTCCCATTTATCAGCTGTGCTGCCCTTCTAGTTGGGTTTGGAATGTGCTGAGGATCTTTCTCGTGAATTTCTGCATTGCAAATTGTAGATAGTGCACACTGCTGATACTGAGAGTTGGTGGTGGAGGGACTGGATGCTTGAGGATGTGGTGCCAATCAAGCCAGCTGCTTTGTCCTGAATGGTATCAAGCTTCTTGAGTATTGAAGCACTCATCCGGGCTGGTAGGGAGTAACCATCTCACTCCCACCATGTGCCTTGTAAATGTTGGACAGGCTTTGGGGAGTCAGGAGGGGAGTTACTCGCTGCAGTTTTTCTAGCCTCTGCCCTGCTCATTTAGCCACTGTATTGATATGGCGAGTCCAGTTGAGTTTCTAGTCAACAGTAACACTCAGGGAATTCAGCGATGGTAATGACATTGAATGTCAAGGGGCAGTGGTTAGATTGTCTTTTGTTGGAGATGATCATTGCCTGGCATTTGTGTGGAGCGAATGTTACTTGTCACTTTTCAGCCCAAGCTTGGTTATTATCCAGATCTTATTGCATTTGAATATTGATTGATTCAGTAGCTGAGGAGTCATAAATGGTGCTGAACATTGTGAAATCATCTGCAAACATTACCACTTCTGTCCTTCTGACTGTTGTAGGATGGATATCAAACAATGATGAGTCAGAATACACAAAGGAGATAGAGGGCTTGGTGTCGTAGCGCAATGATAGTCAAGTTTCTAGGAATGACAATAACTGACAACCCGATCTGGACCTCCCATGTAGATGCGATGGTCAAGAAGGTTCTGCCTCAGGTGGCTCAGGAAATTTGACATGTCCATTAGGATCCTCACCATCTTTTACAGATGCAGCATAGAAAGCATGCTGTCTGGGTATAACAGCCTTGTATGGCAGCTGCTCTGCACAGGACCGAAAGAAACTACAGAAGGTAGTGTGCACAGCCCAGACCTTCACTGAAGTCAACCTTGCATCCGTGGACTCCATTTCATCTCTCGTTGCCATAGAATGTCTGCCAACATCATCAATGACCCATCCCACCCCAGTAATGCTCTCCTATAACCTCTTCCGTCAGGCAGAAGATACAGAAGCTTGAACACACTCACCAGCAGGTTCAAGAGCAGATTCTTCCCTGCTGTTATTAGACTGATGAATGGACTCTCTAACTTCAGATTATGTTGATTTAGTTAATGTTGTTCTTGCCTCGCGCACATCCTGTGTGGTGTAACCTGTATGCCTCACTCTGTCCAAGTTCTTTTCACCCTATAATCTGTATGTTGTTCCTTACTATGAGCTGCCTGCAATGTTTGCGAACAGAGCTTTTCACTGTACTTAGGTACATGCGACAACAAATCAAATCAATCAGTCAATGATGAAGGGAGGGCCATTGATGAAGCAGCTGAAGATGGTTGGGCCGAGGACACCACTCTGAGGAGCTCCTGCAGAGATGTTCTAGAACTGTTGTGGAACCACACAATCTTCCTACATGCCATGTTTGACTCCAGCAGCAGAGAGTTGGCCCTCTCTTACACATTGATTCCAGTTTTGCAAGGCTCCATGATGCCAGTCTGTCAAATGTGGCCTTGATGTCAAGGGCTGTCACTTTCATCTCCCTCTGAAATTTTGTCCATGTTTGAACCAAGGTTGTAATAAGGTCAGGAACTGAGTGGCCCTGGCAGAACTCAGACTGGGTGTCCGTGAGGAGGTGCTGCTTGATAGCACTGTTGATTACATCTTCAATTTCATTACTGATGATCGAGAGTAGGCTGAATAGGTGGCAATTCGCTGGGTTGGATTTGTTCTCCTTTTGGGTATGGGAAATACCTGGCCAATTTTCCACATTGCTGGGAAGATGCCAGCCTTATAATAGTACTGGAAGAGCTTGGCTAAGGGAGCGACAAGTTCTATAACTTAAGTCTTCAGTACAATTAGAAATGTTGTCAGGGCTTATAGCATTTGCAGTATCCTGTGCTCCCAACTGTTTCTTGATACCAAGTGGAGTGAATTGAATTGGCTGAAGACTGGCAACTATGATGCTGGGGACCACTGGAGGAAGCAAGATGGATCATCCACTTAGCACTTCTGGTTGAAAATTGTCGTGAAAGTTTCAACCTCATCTTTGGACTCTTCTGTCTTTGATGATAGGGATGTTTGTGGAGCCTCCTCCTCCAGTGAGTGTTTAATTTTGTTCCGCCATTCACGACGGGATGCGGCAGGACTGCAGAGCTTAGATCTGACCCATTGGTTGTAGGATCACTTAACTCTGTCTATTACTTGTGCTTATGTCGTCTGGCATGCAAGTGGTCCTGTATGGTAGCTTCACCAGGTTGACACCTCATTTGTAGATGTGCCTGCTGCTGCTCCTGGCATGCCCTCCTGCACTTTCCATTGAACCAGGCTTGATCCCCTGGCTTGATGGTAATGGTGGAGTGGGGGAATTTGCTGGGCTGGGAGGTTGAAGCTTGTGCTGTAGTACAATTCTGCTGCTGTTGATGCCACAGTGCCTCATGGATACTCAGACTTTAGTTGCTAGATTTGTTCTAAGTCTGTCCCATTTAGCATGGTGATAATGCCACATGATATGATGAAGGGTATTCTCAAAATGAAGGCGGCACTTTGTCTCTGCAAGGATTGTGCAGTGGTTACTCTTACTCATAACTGTCATGGACAGATGCATCTGCAACCAGCAGATTGGTAAGGATGGGGTCAAATATGCATTTTTCCCTCTTATGGTTCCCTCACCACCTGCCGCAGACCCAGTCTGGCAGCTATGTCCTTTAGGACCCAACCAGCTTGATAAATTTTGCTGCTGCTGAGCCATTCTTGGTGGTGGATGTTGAAATCGCCAACCCAGAGTATCTTTTGTGCTCTTGCTGCTCCTAATGCTTCCTCCAGATGTTGTTTAACATGGAGGAGTACTGATTCGTCAGCTGAGGGAGGAGAGTACATGGTAATCAGCAGGAATTTCCTTGCCTATATTTAAGCCGAAGCTATGAGGGTCCAGCATCGATGTTGAGGATTCCCGGGGCAACTCCCCCTCCCCCCTCCCCCCGCCCCCCCGGCTGTATACCACTATTTTTCACCTCTGCTGGTAGGACAGGACATATCCAAGGATGGTGATGATGGTATCTGGGACATAGTGTGTAATGTATGATTCTGTGAGCATGACTATGTCATATTGTGTGACTAGTCTGTGAGACAGCTCTCTCAATTTTGGCACTAGCCCCAGATGTTAGTAAAGAAGGCTTTGCAGGGTCAACAGGGCTATTTCTGCCATTGACTTTTCAAGTATCTAGGTAATTGCCAGAATGTCCATCCGGTTTCATTTCTTTGTGGATACTTTGTAGCAATTATTCCAGTGAGTGGCTTGCTAGGCCATTTCAGAGCGTAGTCGAGAGTCAGCCACATTTCTGTGGCTTTGGAGTCACTTACAGACCAGGTGAGGATGGCAGATTTCCTTCCTTGAGGACATTAGTGAACGAGATGTGTTTCTTCAACAATCGAATGGTCGGATTCATGGTCATCAGTGGATTTTTAATTCAAGATCTTTTAAAATTTGAATTCAGATTCCGCCATCTGCCATGGAGGGATTCAAACCCATGTGCCCAGAACATTACCTGAGTTTCTAGATTAATTGTCTAGCGATAATACCACTAAGCCATCGTCTAGTGATGCAAAGTACTGGTGCTAGAACAGAAAGCTCCACACCTGCTTTTGGCTCCTGCACAGGCATGATGCCTCCTTTCTCAAATAAATTGGTGTAACTTAGCACAGGAACATTAGATGAAGGAGGGAGAGGGAGGAAAAATGGATGAGTTTGCTTCAGACAGTGTTTCGTCACAATAGAAAAGGAATTTGAGAAGTGCCTTAAGTCAGGGAAGAAAAGCTTTTGAATAAAGAATGCAAGTTAGTCAATTAAAGTGGAATACTTCAAATTTAACCACCTTCCTCCACTCTGGCCAAATTCCAAAGCAGTGAGCAGGTGGTTAAATTGTAAAACTGGTGGTTGTTCTAATAGATAAAGGTGACCAAATTTGGTACTTGATATAGGCAAAGTGAAATGGGGGCAGAAAATTTATTTGATCTTGTCTATAGCTAATAAAAAACCTAATGGTTGTTTTCTTTCAGCCTTGTCAGTTTGATTTTGCTGTTTTTTGCCCCAATCTCTTGGACATGGCACAAAATCTGAATGCTGGTAAGTGTGGTTCTGGTAAGCTGCTTCTTTCAGAATGTGGTTCCCAAAAAGGTGAAACCTTTAATGACTTTGTTGAATGTTATTGATAAATTTGTCACTTTTGGATATATTGAGCCAAACAGACCAAGTTCATGGTAAAACATACAATAGTTGGAAACATTGCCATTTTGTCTGGGAGAATCAGTGCAAGGTGTTACACTGGCATAGGGAGACAGTTGATTCAATTTTTCAACAGAACGTAATTCACCTTGGTTGCGAAACAAATTGACTACAGTGATAGCTAATCAATAATAGCCTTTGTCCGCATGATCCCTGGTACCATTGCAGCTGATGAGCAACAACTAAAAAAATATAATTGTGATGAGCATTGTCATAGGGTTATGCTGCAGGGGAATCTTAAATGAAATGTTCAAAATTGCAAGTTTGCGAACTGTTAAATAGATGAGGATTTCCACTGTCTGGTGAGTCAGTAACAAGGGACTGTAACGATTCAGGATTAGTAACAAATATTGTATAGATAACATTTAAGAGGGAGTGAGATAAGTATACAAGGAAGAAAGGAATGGAATGACTGCAGTGGCTGAAGAAAGCCAATGAATATTGACAATAAGATGCTGGTGGGGTTCAATGATGAAAGTGTTGGAAGGCTCATGTGGTCATATGCACATGCATAGATCCCTTTGATTGAATGGTTTGGTTCTATGTTGTAAATACAGTGAAAATAAAGTATCTGCAATTTCACCTGAAGTACAGAATAGCCATGAGGGAAATCAGAAATCTTTTTAACTGTTGTAGCTTGAGGTTAGTGTTGGGGGACTTTTGGGTCTGGGACAATGCAGAGAAATAATTTTCAGATGTTTTCAGTCAGGTTGTAAATTGTTACTGACCAGTTTGGTAACATGTAGGAAGAAAAACTGTTTTCATTTCATTTCGTTTTGTCTGTTTTTGAAATGCTAAAAGGTTGCTATCATTGGCTTTGTTAACCTTTTTGAATCCAGGTATGTGTTTCTAATAACTGGTACAGCCAAATGGTTTGGCTCACTTGGGAGAAGCCCTAATTTCAATCAATATGTTGTGGACGCAGACGGTACTTGATTTGAGCATGTTATCCAGGTTGATGCTATTATTGAAATATTATTAGATTAGACATTAAACTAAAATTCTGTCTGCTCAGATAACTTGGGTGCACAGTAAACCTCCTATGACCCCATTGTAAAGGCGGGAACTTTCTTCATAATCTAAACCACCACCAAAATAAAACTAACTAGTCATTCATCACAATGCAACACTCTGCATTTGACCTGATACTCTAGGACTGTCTGAGTCTTGTTTGCCAACTCTAGCATCTTTCATATAGATAAGCACAAAAGATTTGCGAGAGAAGGTGATCTAGGTTTAACATGCAACATTTTGTTTTCTCAGATCAGAAAAATTATACAGTGTCTCTGGAGAACATGCTTAGCCGTTGCCTTGACAACCATCGTGCCTGGTGTAAACTTACAGAGGTGAAGCGTGATAATTTATGGAATTTAACAGGCAGTACTCTAGAAGGCCCAACCACATTTGTTAAGAGGGATGATTTGGATGAGGAAATGCTACTGTTGCATGATCCAGAGTGTGAACAGATAACCACTCGTGCACTTGTCTTCCCTTGCATCAACAATGGCTTGCAGTGGATAACACAAGGACGTGATCCTGACCTTCAGCCTTCATTGGCCAATCCACTCAAAATGCATCCAGCAGGAGCTGCAGCACTGAAGGAAGCTTCAACCATACAAATCCTGATCACAGGAAGCCTCCATCTCGTAGGCGGGTGCCTGAAACTTCTTGACCAGTCCTTGTCTCAGTGATTTTGTTTTCAGACCTTGCTCTAATGACCTACTATGGAGGAAGTGTTGGCTAGGGGAATAGTTTCTAGGTTTGTTGTACTGGACATTGTTCAGATACTAAGTATTTTGATGTAGAAGAGTTAACACAAGGTGATGGTATTGACTGAGTGGAAGCTTTCATTTCACCAGAAGGAAATTGGCCGTCATGGGATAATAACTTTCTCTTGCAGGCTTTGTGTGTGAAGTGTAGGCCAGTCTTTTATGTCTAATGGCATGTATTAGTTAAATTTTTGCACATGAAATATTTAAAAGAAAAAGTCTTACATTTTCTAGGTCTTAAAAACTGGAATATAAACTTGGTCCAAAGTAATGGAGTAGTTCATTCCTGTTGTAGTTGCACATGAATACTTGAGATAACTTGCCCTCTGATTTTTCTTCTTTTTATTCTGGGAAGTGCATTATTTCTGGTAAATATACACTAGCATTTGGGTGTCAGTGTGTGTCGGGGAGGTGGAACACTTCCGTGTGCACTTTGTGATTGTCTAGCTGGGCCTGCCTTTTCAGCTTTTTCAATTGAATGGCTTCAAAATAAAAAGGAACAGGGATTTGAAAAAAACAAAATCAAAGAAACAGTCACCCACATTATTTGCAAAGAAAGATTAATGAACACTACTAATTATAGTTGTGAATTGTAAATCAAAAGTCTAGGATGATTTGTAATTGATAAGCTTACAATACCATCCACGTAAAAGTAGGATTTATTTCGCTGCTGGATGAATTGGGCAGGAGAACCTTTCCCTGGTTGTCATTTATAGGCAGAGGCTCCCTCAACAGTCCTCTTAGGGTAAGACAACTGCTGAGACAGTGCTTGCAGACAATGCTCCTTAGATAGCACTGTTTCAAATGTGTGACCTGTGCCACCTGGTGAATAAGGGTAGCATATACATGGCAATACTGTAACCTGAGCATTCTTCTCCAAGCCACATACCATACTGATTTGAAACTATAATTGCTGCTCCTTCAATATTGTGTGAAATGTGCCTACCCTCCAATGGACTGCAACATTTCAAGAAGGTAGTTCACCACTACTTCCCGAGCAATTAGAGATGGGCAATAAATGCTGGCCTGGCTAGCGAGGCCTACGTACTATGAAAGAATTAAAGAAAAATGCATTTGTGTGAAGTCTTCACCAGGACAACAAAGAGGGATTCGGTGTAATTTAATGTGGAAATAAATCTTTATTTCCCCAATACTCAGAAGTGCTCTTACACACAACTGAACATTTTTTTAATCATGAAATCGTCCACCACCTGTAAATCTCCCATGTTTTCCAATTGAATAATATACATGCAAAGCTCGTTAAAACCGTCAAAGGTGAGGCAGAGGATTTGGTGGGGGGATGGGTTGGAAATTAATTTTGTCTTGCACATTTTATCAGATTCATCTGTGTAATAGATGATATCTTTTAACTCCTGGTTCCAACCCATCCATTCATATGATAGTCTCTTTTACTCAGAGGTTCCCAGCCTGCTATGTTTGAGATGTGATCCTGTGCCCGCCATCATATGAAAATGAAGAACATGTAAATATCAACATGTTCTATGTAGTGATTGATGCTTCATGTATAATGGTAAAGTCAGGTCGTATTCCATTCAAATGAATAATAGTCTCTTTGGGGAGGGGAATTAAAAACCAAGACAGGTGGAACTAAGTATATTTCTCAATCATTGTGTGGTTACATTCTCAGCATTTTGCAGTGGTGAGTGATCATAATGCTAGATGTCTGTATATGCGATTCTAAGGCATGGTGTATTTCAGTCAAGAGTTCAGCAACAGAGTGGAGGGTAATCTCAAAGGGTCAGCAAGGATTGCTTTTGCATCTGATTTGCTACAAAATAGCATTGCTGGGAGCCTAATGTGAATTATCCATTCGATTTTTCACTGGTAATCCTGTAAAACATCATCACCTAAAATTTGCATTAACTTGATTTGTGGAGGTGCACGTACTCAGCCCCAAACTGTGAGACAGAGTAAGCTGAAAGACTGTCTCTATAACCTTCCTTTCTTTTGCATTGCTCACAGAAGATGGTTATGTTGTGTTTATTGTAGACTTTAACAAGATCCCTTGCTTCAGAATATGAATGGTACTGTCTTAAAAACTGGAATATAAACTTGGTGCAAAATGGTGGAGTGATTTACTCCTGTTGTCACTACTGTGACTGAGAATAGCTGCACATGAATATTTGAGATAACTTGCCCTCTTGTTTTTCTTTTTATTCTGGGGAGTGCATCATTTCTGTTAAATACAATGACATTTGGATGTCACTGTAGGGGAGTTGGAACACTTCTGTGTGCACTTTGTGATTGTCTAGATGGGCTTGCCTTTTCAGTTGAATTGCTTCAAAATAGACAGTAATGAAAAGGAACAGGGATTTGGAAAAAAAAGAAGCAACATCTGTGAAACAGTCACCCAAATAATTTGTAAAAAAAGACTGTTAACTGTCAATACTGAAAACGACAAATGTTGGAGATCACAGTGGGTCAGACAGCAAGCTAACACTGAGTCTAGATGACCCTTTAACGGCTAAATGTTAAGTAACTAAATTCACACCAGGCAAGGTAATTCTCAGGTTGGTCAGGGGGTTGCCAATGGTGCTGCAGCAGAGTTTGGCTAGCTCTGTAGCCCTTTCCTCATCGGCAGTTGGGGTTTTGGTGGGGGGGGGCGGGGAGGTGCTACAAGTGAACATATTACCTTTTGACTCCAAAGACCTGTATGAGAGTAATGATTTAATAGGTATTGTCTAATAGCTGAATCATGTTAAGTTGGACACAGTCTTCTGAGTTTTGTAAGCATAACAAAATGCTTTGTAAGATGCATGCTGTGGACAGCCCATGGTAATCCACCAACCAATCAGTACAGACTTGCCTGGTTTGAATTTAGGATTGACAGTGAACAGCTCTTGCTGCATCTTCATACCAACCATGCCGTAGAAAATTATTGTTCCGTTCTGAATTTGTTTTTCTTTTGTTTCAATCCTAGCATGTGCAAGACAAAATGTTTTGACTTCCCTGCTCTCTTTAGCAATGTTCTGTATGATTCTGAATACATTCTAATGTTGGCATGGGTAAAAACTTTGTTTTCTCTGTCTGATTACAGTAACCATTTGCAAGCTCCATCTCTAATTCCTTATCATGTAGTGTGCTTATAACCATCACCTGTCAGCATGCAAATTCACCAATTGAAGATCCATGTCCTTTCCACAAAGACTAGAAAGATAGGAGACATCCAGCAGAGGTTCTACTATTCTTTTCTTAGCAATCAGCTACAAAGTAGCCTTGAGTTGGGTCTCACACTAGCAATCTGAGAGTAATGGAATAATCATTTAAGTCAAAAAATGCACACACTTATAGCTTATGATCTGATCTCTGGAATAAGTGGCTGTTGGATACTGTAACCATATTTGATTGGATAAAACATTTGGTTGTCAGTGCTTGCTGGTGAAAGATGTTATTTCTAAAATTTTGCAACTTTAGTAAGTAATCCTAAACAGTGACTTTTTTAAAAAAAAACAGGAAATCACTTAAGAGCAGCTGTCAAACTCCTAATTATATAATGGAAAAATAGCATTTTACCATGTACTTAATTAGACATACAACTGCTGCAAGTGATCTGTTACATTAACTGTTCGAATGTGCTCTTAAGCTGGAAAAGAAACTTTATTGCAAGGCTTAGTTCCCTGTACTCTCACTGTGTGAAGGATGATTACCCCATTTCAAGCTTTGCCATCATTTTCTACATACCTTGCATCTTAACAAGGAAAATGAAACCTCTACATGAACATTGTATTTGAAAGATAACCCATGATTTCATCTCTGTGTAACATGAACTGTTAACAACCTGGAATTGCATCAGCATTTTTGCGTTCTTTACATGTGAACAGTCAATTTATTCTTATGACACTGGTTCACAAGTGCATGTGGGATCTGTTGCTGTTACTTTGATTTTATATTTGGAAAATCACAAAACATATGATGGTGCTGTGAAAAATGAATAACCACCAGCCAAAACCTGCTAATGATTCAGGTGATTTCAGATGTTTAGAAACAGCTGCACTGTCCCAACGTGCACACTAGGCTAAGATAACAAGGTGTAGAGCTGGATGAACACAGCAGGCCAAGCAGCATCAGAGGAGCAGGAAGGCTGACGTTTTGGTCTGGA